GCAATAATTAATTATTATTCGGTGATTTTCACTTATTTCAGTAATTCTTTGTTGTTCTTCATCATCTTTGAAATATGGAAACTTAACTTATGTTTGTTATTTTACTGTATGCGAAATTATAAATCAATATTAAAGAGTAAATACTTGCCTACTCTGTGGTACTTAGGGTTTCTAGATCGGGAGTGTTTATACTTATTTAGGGGGAAAATAAGAACTTGGAGAAATTAAATCTGGGGGGAGAACTTTAGGAATCATATTTTTTCTTAGAAAATGCCATGTATTTTTTTGGCAAAACGATAGGGAAAGCTACCACTTATAAAATTAAATTAAAATATAGGTACCAACTAGATTTGGTACCTAACAAATCTATTAAGGATGATCAGTGACGATGGACCGTGTCGAATCCTGAGCCGAGCTTTAGCCGTAGCATGGTCACCGAGCCGATCTGTAAATTCTGTAATGTACAAAGAAGTGCCTCGCCTCGACCGAGCAATTAGGTAGGTATCGTTGCGCCGTGATGCAGTCTAATCATTCAGATAAAGTAAATAGGGTAAATATACTCGTCCGAACAAAACCGTTTATTGTTTTGTCTGAGGTATCATTACGATTACCGGGTGGCACCGCGCCGGCGCTGTATTCATGCAAAGGGCTGTGGCCGAGCCGAGGCGGCACCAAGTTTTTTGCGAGCGTTGTTTCATTTGTTGCTCGGTTGTCAGTCGGTTACCGCCTGGTATAGTGTGAATGTGTCCATAATCCATGTTAAATAAATTATGATTTTATTTATTTTTTAAGCATTTATCTGCTAGATGTTTAAATCTAAAGAAAAGTTTACTAGAAAAAATTCCACGCGGACCAGGCAGCGGACGGGACTCGAACCCGCATCCTTCTCTATCCGGGCGAATGCACTGACCATTATGCTACCACGGCCCTATTAGCCGCGTCGAAATTTTCCTAGCCTTAAGCTGCAAGTAAACTTTTCTTTAGATTTAAACATCTAGCAGTTAAATGCTTAAAAAATAAATAAAATCATAACTATAATTGATATTTCTTCTTTCAAATGTTTAATACTTGAAAAAGTATTCATTTGACATTGTGGGTTACCTACAATGCGAAGAGATGGCGCTGCCTTGCAGCTTAAGGCTAGGAAAATTTCGACGCGGCTAATAGGGCCGTGGTAGTATAATGGTCAGCGCATTCGCCCGGATAGCGAAGGATGCGGGTTCGAGTCCCGTCCGCTGCCTGGTCCGCGTGGATTTTTTTTAGTAAACTTTTCTTTAGATTTAAAATAAATTATTTAATATTAGTTAACTAGAGGAGTTCGATGGCGCAGACAATTAGCTCGTTCGGCTGCGATCGTTGAAATTAAGCAACTTTCGCAGTGGTCGGTCAATGGATGGGTGACCATGATGATGATTAGTTAACTCTGTTACGGCCGACACGGTCTAACGTGAATCATATCATCCTTGAAAATTTCTCGCATCGTAAATTCCCAATTCAGCACATCTATCTAATACCTACTCGTACTCGTACCTACCTACGGTTATTTTCGGTTTCCGTAAGAGGTCGTAATTATCCCTTCGGCTGTTTTTCTCATTTATTGTATAATCTGAGATGCGTAACCTATTTTTATCTTTTTGGGTTCTATCAGTTTTTGGCGAGATCGTCCTAAATCTTAATTATTCATTTGATGAAGATGCCAAGTTTCGAATATACAAAAACAAACTTCTCAATTACAAACAGTAGGAACTTATTTCTTATATGATTAGTTTATAAAAGTTGGATTTAAAAACATTTCTAACAAATATTAAAAACTGCTTCATAGAAACAAAACCACTAAAACCAAAGAAACAAATAGGTAATACATTAAAGTCTAAAGTACCTTCATTTAAAGTCAAAATAAAAATTTGGATTGGAATTGGTGATTGGAATGCATATCACTGACACATACCTATTATTAATAACTTGTTAATTATTTGACTATGTACTTTAGTTATAAATAATTAGGATCTGCAGGTATTACTTAAAGAATTAGTACATAGATTTCTTACCCTTTTAGCTTGTTTTTATTTGAAGTGGATTCTTATGTATGCTATAAAAGATTTTACCTTAAATTATTTAGTATTATATACAAGATATACGTGTACATTTACCACAATAGCGCAAGTGTAACGCTCTTGTTCTGCGATCGTGAATGTTAAGCAAATTTCACAATGGCCGATCTTAGGATGGGTGACCAACCCAAAATGTATTATATCGAGTTCCTTTGTTACTGCTCGTTGCACCTGCAGTCGTTAGCCCCCACTAAGCCGCAATAGGCCATGACACATTAATAAGCTTATAATAAATCCGCATCGAAACAAAGACTTACCTACCTTTTTAAAAAAATAAAAGATCTAGCTAATATATTATTATCACCGTCACTGTTCATTATTGTATAAAATTTATGTATTTTTTTAACGAAATTAACCCTTAACCAACCTTAACATCAAGGAACAGCAATCATTTACGTGCTATTTGGCCCCAATTAATCACATTTAAATTTAGAGAGGACCTCCGTAGGTCCTTCTTAAAGGAGATTGGTCAAATTGGCCTAAATGCAAATAAAATATTGACATATACAGTAATTCTTGGCGTAATTTATACTTTATTTTACAGTCATTAGATTTTAACGGCCACCTTTAAATAATATATTAATTTTAAAAAAGGACTTCTATTTTTACCGGTTTGGAAAACATACGAATCATTTTTATTGGCTATGGGTGTAGTAACATTCACAAAGACTGATCGAGGTTGTTTATATAACATCAAAACAAATCTATTTTGTAAAGATTGATAAAATATTTCGATGATATTTTAATTCAAAATGTAGATGATATGTAATATTAAACGCAACATAAAAGTACTTAAGTTGTTTTATTTCATTAATTTACCTTATCAGAATATTTAAGCTATGTCAGGAATATACAAATTTCACACATTGATCAGAACTATCATGAACCTACGCAATATATTATTACATTAGAATTACCTTTTACCATTATAAACCTAATCATTACTAAGAAAATATCCTATTGGTTTTTATAAAATTATGATAACAGTTCCATGTTTCTCATAACATAGGTAAGCAGGTACCAGTTCCTTGACATGCATTTTGTTAGTGTAATTAGTGTTAGACACTTGTCAAATGAAACAAGATTGCTTCTGAAAGTCGCAATGGCATAATCATGATTTTAAAACTTACTCTTGTGCATTAATTTTAAAAACAGGCAATTATCTGTTATTTTACATGCTCTATATACCTGAATCTAATACATAATATCGGTACTTGGCTTGATTGCCCTATTTTCCTATATAAGTTATTTGGTTTTTATTATTCTAATACCTATGTGCCTATTTGCAAACATAACCTCAAAATCATTCAGTGTATATGGTTTATAGAAGTTCTCAGGAGTATATAATTTCGAATATAGGAAACAATTTTTCATGGTTATTGGTTTTTAGGCCAAACATGTATGGAAGCTGAGCAATCTCCTTTAGTGTGACATTTCTAATTTTAGAGAAAATATGACATTGAGAACGCGTTTCAGAATATCATTTAATCATCTAAATCTAAGTTAAATAACCTAGCGACGTCAATTTTAAATTTAGAGATAGTGTGTCATTACAGAATACCAAATTGAATTTGACAACTCTATATCTAATTTTAGTTAGTTTTAGATATAAGTTGGCACGCCAGAATTGGGCCCACTGATTATAATGTGTTTATGGAGGTGTTTGGCGAAAAATATATGGCAATAGACTTTATGATGTCGCCTACCATCTATAATAATTGTCTGAGCACATTTGCATCTACTGAAAATGATAATATATTTGTGGATATTAATACCAAAGTGTAATAAAAAAATGATTTATTTTATCGATCTTTACAAAATAGATTTGTTTTTATGTTATATAAACAACTTCGATCAGTCTTTGGCTGAATGTTACTACACCCATAGCCATTAAAAATGATTCGTATGTTTTCCAAACCGGTAAAATTAAAAGTCCCTTTTAAACTAAATATATTATACAAAGGTGTCCGTTGAAATCTAATGACTGTAAATTAAATTATAAATTACGCCAAGAATTACCGTGTATGTCAATATTTTTTGTGCATTTAGGCCAATTTGAGCAATCTCCTTTATGAGGAGCACTTAAATATTATTGAAAAATAGTCATTTTGCGCCGTACCTACATTCCAATCTTTGCATTAAACGAAATAGCCAAAGCATATCCTGACCCCTACTTCCTTTCCGGTAGACGAATGGGAAACTTAGGCTCAACTCAAACTGGCGCAGAGTAGTAGCGTCGCGTCATGTTTTTCGTCTTGGGAATAGGTATCTTCCATAAGAGTGGGAAAAAGAGATGAATTTGCTAAAGACAAAAAACATGGAACTTGGTATTAAGAAATGGCGCGTCGTATAAGTGGGAATACCTAAATCGTGAGAAAATTTGCTACAGGAGAAACACATCGCGTCGCTTCGACTCTGCGCCAGAGTGAATTAATTCATAGTTCTACTGTAGCTTACATAGGCTGTATTTAGCTAGGAGTAAGAGTGGGCAATAACTACCCTAATAAAAACCTGTCTGCCCATCCGAAAACTCGAATGCTCTAAAATGACATAAATAATTTCAGAACAAAAATAACTGGATGACTGGGCCACCCTAGGAAAAATCCCCAGCTACGCCAATGAGCTGAGTTCAAGTTTTTTTTATATATTCAAGTAATATCAGATTTAATATATGAGAGTTTACTACATTGACAGTTTTTCGCTGTTACGTAGGTAGTAAGTACGTACATATCGACAGTGGAAAAGCAAAATAGCTTATACGCCAGTTAATTTCAGTTTTTATTCAATGTTAATTTTTAAAGCAGCACCAAAATGGCGTTTTGCTTCTCCGCTGTCAATATTATTATGTACCTATATAGATATAAATAAACAAATTTCTTTTTTGTCTGCGTTTATTTCAAATAATCTAAATTATATTTTATAAGATAAAGTTAAAACTAACAGGTAATAAATATAGGAGAATCTTAGGTGCATATTTTAATACATAACAATCAATGCAAAACGTTATCCTTTTTCATTTCGCGGGTCTACCAAGCGTAGGCAAGACCGAGGCCGTTTGTGTAGGTCATGTGGGAGACAGCTGGTGCTGCAGAATATGCCACTCCAAGAAGACCACCGGCGGCAGCAACCTGTAATACAACAGAAACCATCAAACTCTATAAAAGTAACTGATAGGTAGGTTTATTAAAACAGGAAGTCAAATAAAAATATTTATTGTAAATAATAAAATTAATGTAAAGAAGTGATGGGTGTAGTGCTCTCAGCTCAGTTGCGAATGGAATCACCTAGAGAATCCATTTGAGTTTGCAGGAAGAAGAAATATTTGGTGAGGCAAGCACGTGAAATGAGTGGGCTGGGGACTTTAGTTAAGTTATATTTCGCTAGATTTTTCATATCTAGGCAAGAGATTGCTACCGCCATCTATTCCCCCTTGGCGACTCCCTTCAGACTCGTCAATAAACTAAGTTAATATGAAAATTTATACACGCGTTATAGATAAATGTTACACATGAAAGCAAAAGCACCACTTGATCCGAATGAGCCCTTTGCGCATTATATTTCACCACCGCTGGACTGGGAGCGAAAGAAAAATATACATTAGCCATTTATAGACATTGCGAAGATGGAACACGTACACGCACTGCACCATTTAGTTTCTTTAAAAAAGAATAAATATAGGTATATGTGTAAAATATCTCACCCTGGCAACAGGCGCATAAGGTGAAGCCACACCGACGTGTGACACGTAAGGAGACGCGATGCCGCCGTACGCCGGAGCCACAGCTACACCCGGGTTGCTGACGCGGATGTCCGATTTGCGAACACTCGAGAAAGGCGTGTCTATCGCTTTGGAGTAGGTCGATACCTAGACGACAGAAACAATTAAGGTTACGTAAGACACTTACTGCGGAAATTTATTTCGCAATGAATATCTCACTCAACTACAAAAATTAAGTCCTAATACCTAACGAAGATTTGGGTGGACCTCATCAGATAACTGACCCTTTTGTTCTGTAATCTAAGGCGTTGGCTAAAGTTATGCAATTTAGTATTCAAGGAGCAAAAGCAGAGCACTGTGTAGTACAGATGAGAAAACATCTGTACTACTCACTAGTCTCACTTAACATCAGATGTGGTAGACATTTGCCAAGCTTCTTAAAAAGATAATTAAGTCGCCCATCAGGGTAAATGTTGTCGATTTAAAAAAAAGAAAAAGCCAAATAATAATTAAGCTATTGTGCTGGCGCTGTCACCTATATTCCTGCTGTGGGCAACATTACCAGATCTCCTCGGGATAGGCGCAATAAAGACTTAATAGTCATACAAGACAAGACAGGATTGGTATTTCCTATATTGGATTTCACTCACGCTCAACAGCTAGAACAGGGTTATTCTGTAAAACTTCCTAAAAATGAATAAGCCCAATACTGACTTAATGGAGGAAATACATAAAGTATTCCCAGGGAACCGGCGGGCACAGTTCCTGTGTTGGTTGTGGCCCCTGATACACCGGGGAACTGCACATCAGTGAGAGGTCCGGCAAGGAACAATCAGCTTACGGGTATGCACCCGTCTCTTGCAGGGTGCCACGTCTACACTTGCACTCTCGACACGCACTTTGGATTCTTTGGTCCGAAGAGAGCGTGTCAGGTGACTGGTGTAGGAGTATTGTCTGTGATTTTAGTAGGCAGTGCCTGCTAATTTCATCAAGCTGCAAAGCTGGGTGAAATTAGTGTGGACATGTCTCATATATCCTCGTTGCAGCTCCCGAGTGCGACGAAGGCATCACGTCCTTCCCAGACATTAAACAAAAGTTTGCGATGAGCGTACCTGTCCCAAGTTGAACGGTGATCTAAGTATGTTGGAGTGCTGTGAGGCGATCGCAGGCTGAGCCGGGTAAGAGCTGTACGGGTTCCAGGCTCCACCGTAGGCCACGGGAGCTATCAGACCAGCGGCCGCTTGTGCGCAAAGCGCCGCGCATACCAACAGTAATGACTGGCAAATAAAAAAGGTTAAATCAATGAATATTTGTAAAACTCACAGCAATTAGCCTAGCACCAAGGTAAGCACTGTAAGGCTTATGATATGGGATACATTATAGTCGATTCTAGCATAATTCTCTAAACTTGAAATTAAATTTAACGTCGGTAGGTATCGCCTTTTCATTCTATGTATAAAATGATAAGGGTACAGTGTTGTCAAATTAAATTTGAGGTTTAGAGAATAACGCCAGAATTAACACCATTATTATGATCGATAGAAGAGTCATATTTGTGTAGAAATATAAAGGAGATTGCTCAGCTTCCATACATGTTTGGCCTAAAGACCAATAATCATGAAAAATTGATTCCTCGATTCGAAATTATATATAAATTACTGTAGAAACGAATATTATTGACGGACACCCCTGAGAACTTCTATAAACCATATACACTGAACATATTAAAATAATAAAAAACAAATAGTTATATAGTAAACTAGGGAAATCAAGCCAAGTACCGAAATTATGGATTAGATTCAGGTATATAGAGCATGTAGATTAACAGATAGTTGCCTGTTTTTAAAGTTAATGCATAAGAGTAACTTTTAAAATCAGGTGTCATTTCCGGTTATAATAAGGTACTCTGTGACAGAAACTGTGTGATGATTGTGAATGAGCCAGAGATTAGAGAGATTTTTTAAACTCTCGTTAACCAAAGAAAGCTAAGAGATTTAGGTTCTATAGCCATATATTCAGTAGCTTCATTATTTTTGTTATGTGTTTAAGATAACCATATTTTAGATTTTTAGTGTATCACACCTTATAATTTTATTTATTTATTTATTTATTTATAGTCAGGGAACGTAGGCCTATAGATAGATACCTTAAAGTCTAACATATATACAGATTATAATGTGTTTATGGAGGTGTTTGGCGAAAAATGTATGGCAATAGACTGTCTGAATTGTATGAGCACATTTGCATCTAGTGAAAATGATAATATAGCTGTGGATATTAATACCACAGTGTAATAAAAAAATGTTTTATTTTATCGATCTTTACAAAATAGATTTGTTTTTATGTTATATAAACAACTTCGATCAGTCTTTGGCTGAATGTTACTACACCCATAGCCATTAAAAATGATTCGTATGTTTTCCAAACCGGTAAAATTAAAAGTCCTTTTTAAAGTAAATATATTATACAAAGGTGCCCGTTGAAATCAAATGACTGTAAATTAAATTATAAATTACGCCAAGAATTACCGTGTATGTCAATATTTTTTGTGTATTTGTAAATCTGCTCGTATTCATCATACAAATATTTGCCACATTGGGATTCGAACATAGGCGTCATTATCTATACTATTATATAAAAAGAGAAAAGGATACCCTGACAGACTGGCTGACTCGTCAACGCACAGCCGAAACGGCTGGACCTAGAATGATGAAATTTGGACAGTAGGTTTCTATTATAGCCTAGACAAATAATAAGACGGGATTTTTTGCAATTCAGCCTCTTAAGCGTGACATTTGCAAAAAAAATTTGTTCGTTAAATCTTATCCCTTGGACCTATTGACTGCAAATTTTGCATAAAATTTATTTACCTAATAGATGTACACTAAGCCTGTTACATAAAATTTTTAGAACTACCCTCAAAAAATTACCAAATTTCGTGTCAAAGTTTGTATGAGAGATCATCCAAAATAGCATAGGATTGATTTAAATTTTGCACACCTACTCTGTATGTAAAATAAAAATGCTATCTGTGTTTTCATTTTTCAAAACGACCCTCATTAAACAAAGATATAGCATGTTGAAGTTTTAAATAGTGCGTCAACCCACGCCTACACTTTTGGTCGTAACGACATGATATTTAGTAAATAGGTTGTTCAAATGACGTTAGTCATCAAGCGAGAAAGGATTTTTGAATATTCCACCGTGAATTGGGTGATATAGGGGTTCAAAGTATGTATGGGAAAATGAGTTTGACTAGCTTGACAGCTTTGAAACTTGGCTAAGATAAACTAAACTGAAATTTAAAAAAATGTTTCATATTTTTTGAAATTCGATCTCTATGACGAGAAATAAGGATAGCAAAATATATATAGAATATATTCAGTAAATTTACTCTAATATCTTATTACTAGCTGCGCTCCGAAGGATTACCCCGAAGTTCCCGTTCCCTTGGGGATTCCGGGATAAAAAGATATTAAACCTATATGCCTAAAATAAACTCTTTGCTTAATAGAAAAATCAGGATGGTATATAATGTCTTCTTCTTTATCTATACTTCTTTATCTATTCTATATACTATATATATACTCTACACTATTACGAGTATATAAAGAGAGAGATTATAAAATTATTTCACTAATAGAAAGTTTTATTGTAAAGGATTACAATAAAACATCATTTTCCCAACAATTCTACGGGAATGAGCCTACGGCAACGACTACGGGTGTCATATCCTGTTTCTCAAACCACTTAACTGATTTTCAAAACAAAATCTTCAATGTTTGAAATTGTAGAAGAATAAGTACGACTTTTGTTCTGTTAATTCCACGGACACGGGATCACCAGGGGTAAAATTCTATTTTTCAACCACTTGACCGATTTCGAAACCATTTTTACCAGTTCGTACCAACGTATATACCTATTATTTCCGGATGCTGATTCCTGTCTACTTAATACAATACTCCCGTGCGTAGCCGGGACGAGTCATTATTTTCTTCTATAAACTTCTTCTGTTATGTAAAGAGGGAATTGGACATATTAATTGATTGGCTGGTGACTCATAACGCAAAGCCAAAATCGCTGGACCTAGATTAATGAGATTTAAACAGAGCTTTATATTGTCCAGAAATAATTTTAGATATTCACAACAGACAACAAATAGACGGATATACGATAAATAGACAGACAGACATTACATGACAGATAGACAGACTGACAGACAGACGACAAAACGACTGCGGAAGACAGATTAATAACAAAAATCTTCACGTTACAAGTCTTTCCGTATATAATAATTGTACTTTCTCAAATCGGTGATCTGTTTTTTTTCATCACATATCTAATATATAAAATTCTCGTGTCACGGTGTGCGTAATTGAACTACTCCGAAACGGCTCGACCGATTTTCGTGAAATTTTATATGCATATTCAGTAGGTCTGTGAATCGGACAACATCTATTTTTCATCCCCCTAAATGTGAAGGGTGGTCGACCCTTAAACAATTTTTTTGTATCATCATCATACAAAAATCCATACAACCCTAAATTTTCACCATTCTATCACCAACCCCTATTTTTTATGGCGGTACGAAGTTTCGCTGGGACAGCTACCTATATAGTAGGTATTTCTATAGATATTCAATATACGGATGGAGACATTGTAATGCTCCATACCTATATAAATAATTATAAAAAAAGTGGCTTCAGACTTTCTCATTTCAGAACCAATACAATATTTAAAAAAAAGAACAAGCGCAAGACACAATAGAACGTGACGTAAGCAGTATTCGAAAATTTTAAAAAATCGAAAATTGAATGCCGTAGAATGAAAACCGAGGTTCCCTAAGCGATGCGTGTGGAACTGAATTTTCTTTCATTGAATTTACGTCCTTCAAATTTGTTTGTGTAGCTTTTGTAAAATTGTTTTTCGTTATATAGTGAAAAGCTCTTCCACTGTTTCCTTTTGTTTATTTGTTGTTAATTTTTCTTTGTATTTTAGATATAAATGCTGATTCATTATATTTACATAGTATTTAATACACCCGTGTGAAGCCGGGACGGGCCGCTAGTAATCAATAATTATATAGTAAGCTTAACTTCCTTGGGCTAACCAGTATTGGATTTTGTTAGATAATATAATCAGAAAAAAACGACGAGTTCCACTCCGGGAGTGCCGGCAGAAGTGAAAACTTGAATATTAACCTTGTGCATTTTTGATATTTTGGAATGGTTAGGGAATAATTTTGCACGAATTGCTTTAATTATCAGTATAAAAGTACTATCATGTATGTAGTAGAATACAATATTTATTTATTGCGCTATCGTACACAAACATGACAATTTATATTACATTAAAAAGTTTATCTCTCTGAAAAATCAACTAACATGAATCACGTTTAAGCACACTTAGCGATATCTATTGTAAAGAAATCAACTTACATGAATCACATTTATGCGCACCTAGCGACATCTATTGTAAAAAAATGCATTTTCTTCGCAATAAAGCTACCACGTGGACATCCTAGATAGAGACTTATTATTATAATACGATAAAATAAAATATTACTATGTTTCGTCCAATATATTGAAAGTCAACAACCTTTCCAATTTTACTGTGTCATGATGCGATCAGCCCACTTGTTTAACCTGACGCGAGTTTAACATTTTTTACCCATACAAAAAAAAGTGTACAACGCCGCTAAAGAAGTTTTCACTTCAAAAACGCAACCCCTAGACCCTTTGAAGAGGAAAGGACCCAATGGGAGGGCAAAGTAAAGTTTCAATGTCTCTCACAATTCTATGAAATGTAAGGATAGCCAGTATTACACCCTGTAAGTACAGTAGGTACAGCAAAAAAACCCCGTAACCAAGAATTTAAAGTTTTTTTTTTATATTAACAAGTACCTAGGTGCTAATAATGCTTTATAGGTTACCAGGCAGATTTTAATATCTCACTTATTTGTCAAAAGATAAAAAATTTGAACCACTTACTCTTAGCATCATGTTTGGTTGTATATCCCACAAAGCTCAGCAGTGATATGTCGTTGATAGACCCTTTTAAAGCTTATATACGGACCCGCGGTGACAACACATATGTATGTCCTTATATGTAGTAGATACATAGAATTATAAATGACGTAACATATTAGGGCAAGCATTGTGCGTATGCGCATGCTGCAGTCGGCTAAAGCTTCGGAAAAAGTACACACAGTACTTACGGTTGGGAGTGGCAGACTGAGCGAGGACAATCTGTCGACCAAACGTTTAGTATATTAAATTTAATGAGAGAGAATGGCATTTATTAAGGCGCAGGTGATAATTTAATTGGATCAGCAATAGATTACATTCATACATTCCAACATACTTACAAATGGTTAAGCATTGAAAAAACATGAAAAGATAAAGAGTTTTACCTTTGATGGAACAAAATATTAAAATTAGGGAAGTACAAATATATAATAGCTTGCCTCAATTTCAATTATACTTTGCCAATTTAATTTCGGGGCATCAACGTCATTATTGATAGCACAAGAATGCATACATGAATGATACACTGGTGTATCATTTATCACGCTTCTAAAACTTCAAAGAAAAAAGTTTTACTATGAAACATTTGTTTCAGTTTGTAATAGTTAAAGCGTCTTAACTACTCACACGTAGTTATAATTTTTATTTTTTAAGCATGTAACTGCTTGATGTTTAAATCTAAAGAAAATGTAACTAGAAAAAAATCCACGCGGACCAGGGAGCAAACGGGACTCGAACCCGCACCCTTCACTATCCGGGCGAATGCACTGACCAATTATGCTACCGCGGCCCTGACGGCTGCGTCGAAATTCTTCTAGCCATTTTTAAGCTGCAAGGCAGCGCCATTTCTTCGCATTGTAGGTAACCCACATCGGGTACTCATGAGTCCTTAATCATGCACAATTAATCAAGTAAAGTCATTTCGTAATAGATTCAGTCAGTAGATCAAGTGCAGTATTTTTATAGGTAAGGCTTCATATAAAGGACTGGGCTTACGCCGGCAAGTGAGGATGGCTGGAGTGGAGTGACACCTTCTGCCAGATCAACTATCATCGCGACTGGTTTTGCTACGGCTGGTATATTCATATCACTGAAATTAACGATAACAGATGATGACAGGGTAAATTAAATGAAATTCTATTTAATCTGTCATTGTCGGTTACATTATTAAAAAACAATGGACACTAAATTTTTCTTTTGAATCAACCAAAAAATTACGTCAAAGTTTGAAAGTCATCCCTATTATCAGTAAACACTGCGTAACTACTAAGTTCAAGGTGGAAAGGTGAAAAGTTAAAACAAAGAGCTATAAAGAATAACTTTTTTTATAGCTTAGGCCTAATAAGGTAGGTCGAAAGAACATCACTTTTTGTGAAGAGTGGCGAGTGGAGTCCAGGTGCAAAGATTCTAGTTGATCTAATTCAGCAGAGAATGGGACACCTGTCGCCGCAGTCACCCTCTTAATTTGTGTACCTGAAGCCTACATTTGCCACCACTCTGTACTGAGGCCCAAGCACGAATTTTTGACAGCTTCGTATCGACATCGTAAAATTTTGTATGGAAAAAACTTAATAACAAAAAAAATTACCTTGTCAACATGCCAACCAAAGTAGTAAATGGAAACTCAGATCTATCAGACATGCATGACACCGACTCCAAATATTAATTTGTGTAAAGATAAAAAGTTTTTTTTTACATTTCGGCGGTTTAATTTTATTGTTAAAAAGTTTTTATTTTATATTTTTTTTGTGAATGTAATTTTTGTAACATACAACTGGTGAGTGAACAATTAATCATCCCCTGTTTTCATTTCTTAGGGTTCCTTTTTTTCCAAATTCATATGGGACCTACCTCAAGGATTACCCTTCCCAATAAAAAAAATATCAAAATCGGACTACTGTGTAAAAAGTTATGCGTGGTCATACATATATATGCGACTTGAGAACCTCCTTCGTTTTTTCATCGGTTAAAAAGCTAGTTTGTTCTCACGTCCGAAAGGGCACTGTAGAATTTTCATAGAAACTTTGACGATGTGATACGTTATGGAACTGTCAAAAATTCGTACTTTGGCCTCTGTAATTTTCTTTGACCTCAGTTATCTTTGAAGTGGAGTGGAAGAACTTTCTCAGGCAAGCGCGGGCCGCAATTATAAAAGTTGGAGGCTGCCAATTCTGCAGTATCTTGTTTTAAAGTAATATTTATAAAATATTTTAGTTCTAACCGGCTCGATTAGATGTAAAACACCTATAACCTTAAACCTAATCTGTAAATGCACTTAGCTAACAATTAAACGGCAATCTAAATAAATCACATTTACCTTATGCCGCACACGTGTTAAATTACATACACAGACAGGGCGCGGTCTAATGTCTCACCGCTATTCACTAGCCAAGCATGTGACCTAAACATGTCAAACCATTGCCGATATCTATCTACTTAAGTCAGCACATTATCATCCATGCCCATAGGTACAGTCAGAAGCATAGATGCAGCTAGGTGAACGTTTTGTCCAAATATTAACAGGGGATAAGGTAACGTCCATTTTCTTAGAAGAGGCAACATCATCATCAGTCTATTAAACCAGACTTAATATACTGCTTTAATATACTGATAATGATGTTGCCCAAACCCAGGCCATATAAAGTATTTATGTGGCACAGGCCGCCTTTATTTTTAGGAGGCAAGATAAAATGACTGATTATGTATTAATTCACATAATTATTAACTTCAAATAAATAACCTTTTGTTTTAATACCCATTGCCCATAATATTACATTAATTAACTGTCACTGATAAAGAGTGTATCTACATTTTATAATGAATTGTGAAGACTGCGTCCAATCGGTGATGCAGCCTTATTCCTTCTGCGCTGTCAATGTTAACTAAAAAGTAGGGCAAACAAGCAAACTAGGACAGTTTCTACGTATTTAATTACATCCGTCATGCTGTCTCCTTGTAGTAAGCCATGTGCATCGTCTCAAGAACTGCAGTTCAAGTGCAACTTTACGGGTACGCTGACATTTGCCAATTAAGTGCTAAGTAAATTAAAATGTATCGACTCGAAAGCCAAGCGTTGGTTACTTTTTGGACACTTGTCAACATTCAAGGACAAAATTGGTATGCAGCTACACCGAATCTCAATGGAGGTAACGAAAGAAATCAATTTACAGAAGCAGATACCTATGAGCATAAATATTTCGCGCCTCTAGCATCATTACGCTACACAAATCAAAGTGAATTTGTTCAGAAATATCTACTTACAAACTTCCAAGATCAGCAGTATTCACCTCCCACATATAACCAAAACAGAGAACACAATGTTTCAGATATAATAGGTTCTTCAGATCTCCAGATTGAATATTACAAAACCTATAGAAATCATACACATATGCCACTAGAAGTTCTAAATTACAACAACACTGTAAATATTGACAATATTATAAAGAAAACAAGGTCGAAAGGAAGAATTATTAAGAGGCGATGTCCAGATGCAAATATACGAAAAACTAAACGCATCGAATCAAAGCAATCCCCTAGAACACGATTTTTAGAAGTTTTTCAAGTCGTTGAATTTGAACATGTGGCGTGTGTTTCAACTAGTGGTTTAGAAGGAACTTGTCTTCACGAATATGAATGTGAATCTAGTGGTGGTTCTATGATGGGAACATGCGCCGATGGTTACGGAACTTGCTGTGTCAGTTAGTATACTTACTACCTACTTTTTTTTCTGAAAAGACTGCTGAAATGTTCATACTTATAGCTGACAAAAGTGACAAACTATCTACTTGTAGCTTTGTTCAAATGCGATGGCCAATCTTCGGAGCAGCTAGGATGGTTTACCAATCCAGGATTCCCATCGCCGAGTTCAGACCGGCTTTCATGCAGTTTTACACTTAACAAAGCTTCAGATGACATCAAACAAATACGACTGGATTTCGAGACTTTTGAGGTATAACGCTCAATGTACAATAATTATATGAACGGTGTAAATTATTGACAAAGTTGTATTTCATGCTATTAAAACTATTACAGTTACTTGGGCCAACAGATGGAACTTGTCAACAAGATTTATTCGTCGTATCAGGCCAAAATACTAATAATATAATACCTATATTATGTGGAATCAATACGGGCCAACATTGTAAGTGATAATATCTCGTATGATTAATTTTCTTAAAATATTACTAAGTTACTCAATACTTCTTAAACATTTTAACGCGCTCGGAATATGAGTGTATGAAAAATTCTAAGTGATTTTTTAAATTACAGTATACGTAGAAGTTGGTGATACAAAAGGACCGATATATCTCTCGGTTCAAACGTATGCTCCTGAAAATAGATTGTATTCAATAAAGGTACTAATGTAGTTTTAAGCAAGGCCCAGATGCATAAAATTGTATCTTAAATTATTAATTTCTATTAATTTCATAATTAATTTCTGTTAAAGGTATCCCAACTCACTTGGGCGGACGAATTAGCGTCACCAACGGGATGTCTTCAATATTATTCGGAAGCACAGGGATATATAGAATCATTCAACTCTAAAGACAGGTCCGAAATAGGGATACCTAGAATTCCCAGTTATTTGGTAAGCAGCTAACATAAATTTGAAAAGATCCTACCCACAATTACATTTTATTATTGTATTCCGCTATATCTGGGCGGAAGGTGCAGGTTCGAATCCTGTCTGATGCCTGGACCAAGTGTTATTATTTCAAGTAAAATTTTCTTTAGATCTAGCTACTCCAAAATAAATACATACTCAAATATTGAATTTGGGAATTTAGGAGTCGCCAGCAGTTTGATTTTTAACTGAAACTATTTTGTATTGTAAGAGTTGTTATTAATTCGCTGAATTCGATCAAATAGCAAACTTTAAAAGGGGGGTTCGTAGAACCGTTAATTTCACATCTTAATTATTCATAATCATAATTTTATCGCAACTTTATTCCCTAAATATCATTTATATTATACATTTCTTTCAGAATAACTTAAATTACGCCATATGTATTAATCGTGCACAAGGAACTTGTAGTGTGACCTACACTAACGACGATTACATGCAAATCGTTAACTACGACCTAGGTCAGTATAAATTATTGTGAAAAAATATCTAAGCAGCCAAATTTAATACGATAACTAAAGTCAGTTTAATTAAATTGTACCCTTAGCCAAGGCCAAAATGCCAAGAAGTACAGCAGCGCTACAACAGACAGTATCGAGATCGAATTCAACATTCGACTTTGATACTGGTTCGTGCTAAGGGTACTGTTATTGGTGGGAGAAGCTTACTAATGCCACGTACAATATTATAAGTACCTATTTTTTCCAAGTTTATTATTATTAGTTTAAATCTATATCTTTACTGATATTATAACGAGGAAATATTTGATTGTTTGTTTGTATTGAATAGGCTCCGATACTACTGGACCGATTTTAAAAAAAACACATTTAGAATTCTACATTATCCATAACAGTCTATGGTCATCATAGAGTATTTTCAAAAAAGTAAGGGTTCCGTATGAAAAAATCGATAATGTAACCCAAGGTGTAAAAAATACCAAAAAATAACATTATATAGCTTACGCTGCGGAAGTCATTAACAAAAGAGCAAAGTGAAGGACTAAAATTTTATAGAGGACATAGAATATCTACAAACAAGTCCGCGATATCATATGTCTAACTATTACAGTTATGTCACAACTAAAGGTCACTTGTGGTTTCACCCGCGTTAATTTGAGGAAAAAGATTATAGTGAGTCAAACTTAAAATATGGGCAGATGCTGTCGCGGACATTTTTTATAAGTAGAACTTTTAAAGAGGAACAATTTCGTCATACATGAATTTTGTGTGACTTTAATCATTTACGCAGCGCACGCAACGGATTCTCCGAAATGGAATATTTTTACCAGTTTTTGCAACATTTTACATCGATTCTCGGCTCCTACTGGCCGCAGCGTAATATTAAAAAGCCTTAAGCCTTCCTTAATAAATGCACTATCTATTTCAACAAAACAAAATATTTCCTGACCATAGTTCCTGAGATTTGCGCGTTCAAATTATATAGAGAAACTAGCTGACCCAGCGAACTTCGTACCGCCCTAAAAAAATAGGGGTTGTCCAGCGGACAAAATTGTGAATCTAAACCATTCTCAGATCCCCTTGAACACACACAAAAAATTTCATCAAAATCGGTCCAGTCGTTTAAGAGAAGTTCAGTGACATACACACTCACAGAAGAATTATATATATAAAGATTCATTGTGTATATAATACAAACATGAGAACATAAAGTAAGCCCCTGCATACTGTGGTTTTCTATAAAGTGTGGCGAACAAGCATTTGGCTGACTTGATTGTAAGCGACAAGTCATCGATTGAAGAAAGACTGTAGTAACCTGATGTTATGCCGACTGTGCGAAACAGTTAAGTGTAGAAGTCATTCTTCTGAATAACTACCTTAAACTGCTACTTTTAAAACAATTGATAGTGCATATCCAGTGGCGGCACTAGGCGTCGGCGACATCGGCCACCGCCGACGGCCTCGCGCCTGAGGGGGCCTCGCAAAAAATTTTTACAAGTTACCTATTTATTTTCGTTTCTCCCGGCCTGGCTTAGGTAGCCGACCCCGAACAATTCGGGGAAAAAGCTAAGCAGATGATAATGACTTTTATTATTTTCGAACACGTGCGTGATGGAAGCGAGTAGTACTTTACGGGTATTCAGAATCGTCTGTCTGGCAACACTATTTTTGTAATTCAATTTCTATGCTTGTTATTATTTTTTGTCATCATTTGATTCTCAACAATAAAACTCGTTTACTCACATGTTATTTTATAATTTGGCTCACTTAAGTTAACGGTTTTTAACTGCGAAGTAAAAAAGGCCTCGCGAACTTGATGTCGCCGACATCCACATGTGGTCTAGCGCCGCCACTGTGCATATCATCAGTTCAGTTATCATAAGCATTTACCTATACACTATTAGTGGTTGCCCGTGACTTCGTCTGCGTGGTAAAGTTGGTTTCCCATATAAACTTCCACTCCCTTTATGATTTCTTTGATAAAAACTATCCAATATCCTTTTTCGGGATTCAAACTAGTTACCTTAATACCAAATTTCATCACAACGGTTCAGCGGTTTAAGTGTGAACAGGTAACAGACAGACACATTTTCGCATTTATAATATTATTATGGACAATTAATGGATTTTCTGCTGAGGATTATCTATCTATACTATTTATAATATTACTAGCGGCCGCCCGCGACTTTGTACGCGTGGAGTTAGTTAGAAATAAGGGTTCACTGCTCGTTCCCCGTAGGTGATAGCGTGATAATATGTAGCCTATATGTTGACCAGACTTCTTAATAATATTCGTGCCAAATTTGAAGAAAATCCATGCACTACTTTTTGAGTTTATCCCGGACAGACAAACAGCCAACAATTCTAAAAACTATATTTTTGGCTTCGGTATCGATTGTAGATCACACCCCAAGTATTCTTTTAGAAAAATATTCAATGTACAGTTTTGAATTTCCTACCGTTTTATTATATGTGTTGATAAAGAGGTTTTCTGAGTTTGTAAGGGGTAATTTCTGGATCGATTGAACCGATTTTGAAAATTATTTTACAAATAGAAAGCCACGTTATTTGTGTCATTTATGCTATTACTAGAATATAAACTAGACTTGCAACGAATAGTATATTCGGCAGTATACCGAATACCGAATATTCGGCGAGGCCCCTGACCGAATAGCCGAATATTAGGCAAAAGTATTCGGCTGGATTTTAGCGCCAAAAACTTGTACAGACGTGATTGTTTCGCGCTCCTTTGTTTTGTTCTAACCTGCCGTCCTCAAGCTAAAATGCAGCTAAATGACAAAACCAACTTTTAAGATAATTATGGCCAAAAACGGCGCGTAAACTTTAAATTATTGCTATTATGTAACCATTCATCACATGACTGAATGAATTAAAAACTGTTAACTTGTTTAATACAGAAAATGATTAAATTATGTACCTGTTTTATGTACCAATGACTACTTAATAAATCATTATAAAAGAAATGAGAACCTTACCCTTCTAAATTTTGATTACCACAATAATTCAAATACATAGAATCCTCCATTTTCCAATTCAGAAGATGATTATGTACCTCTGTTATGTACCAATGACTACTAAATGATTATAGGTATAACAGAAATAAAAATATTAATATACTTATACGTAATCAATCGATTTTAATTTTTCATTTTACACGTATTTCTCTATGACAAAATATATTATTTAAGTATTAGGTATTCGGCCGAATAATATGTAGATATTCGGTATTCGGCCGAATATAATAAAAGCAGACTAATAGGCCGAATACCGAATAGGTAGTTACCGAATATTCGTTGCAAGTCTAATTAAAACTATAGTCCTCACCGAAGCGTAGCGAGGGTGGGCAACTAGTCTGTAAACAAGACAGTAACTCATTAAAATGAAGTGCTTGGATTACCATTACTAATAATTACTATGAGATATAAGCATGACTAGGTACTAATTCATACATACATACCTACTTGAAATTCTACTTATAATGCTTACAGATGGCTTACCAGTAATACCACAAGGACAAGCAGGGGTAGAGATTTTCAACTGTCCCAGTGATTGGCTTTTAATAGCCGCTACACGAATATGTGGCGACCGACTTAACGACGGCTCCGTACTGCAAGACTTCTCATTGAATGCTCCTGTCACTGGTGAAATTAATTTCTTTACAATCGTTACGACATTATTAAAAGGACTTTTATTAAGTGTTCTGGAAATCATCATCATCAGCCTAAAAGGCTAAGAATTCACGCAGCGTTTTTAGCCTGCACTCGCCGCAGGCGGCCGCGCCGAGCTATTTATTTCAAAACTCACGAGAGCAGATTTCTGCGGTCCCGCAGCGCGCAGTTGCCGCGGGTGCGAGATCGGGCGAAGCCTGAATAGGTGTGCAATGTTTTATCCATACAAACGCTCTCGACTGATTCCTCCTTGATTTTTATCACTAAAGAAATTATTTAATACATAAAATATAATTTAACTCATACCATGCTCCCATGTCTTATATTTTCAATAACTTGTGATTCAAAGAAACAAGAAACCCTCACAAAAGACATAAAACAAACTATTTTTTATCACCACTAAAGACGCCAATACCTAATAATAAGCATTTACAAAAAAAGCAAAACATAGGGACCTAGTGTAAATACTTATTTATGGGTAAAACTTCTTTTACATATATTTCAATCTAATTTTCGGGGAGGAAAACGTCGAGAGCCAAACCTCGAATTTTGCAATTTTATACTTAATTTTCAGTGTTAGCAGTAGCTAACGGTATTATTCGATGCACGACAGCAACAGTTTTTGAAATACCTATTTCTCATATGTCTCTCAGCTCGCGTCCTCTCTTAATGTCTACGCTCTGCTGGGACACAGGCCTTCATTGAGGTTGGCATATAGAGAGAACGTCATATATCACAAGAAAATCTTTTACCCGCTTGATGGTAAGCGCTTACCATGATCTATGGAGACCTTAAACACCAAGAAGCACCAGACGCGTGCTGCCTACCCATTGATAACTTTTCTACGCCTCTTTTGAAGAAACTTATGCTGTATGTTCTTTTGGGAAAGCCTCAACAAAGAATTCATTTCACAACTTAATCGTAACAGGGGGGAAATGCCTCTGAAATCGTGCAGTTTCTGTCCAGCTTGGATAATAAAAATATTGTTTAATTAATACTTATTATGTAAAAAATTATAATTATATTTTTCTTGTCTCTAGATACCAGTGCTGGGCCCATAACAGTGTGGTTCAGATCTGACGAGGGATATGTCGGCAGAGGATTCAAGCTTCAGTATAAGCAGAATTCTTGTAATAATCCAGCGTAATGGCAAAAACTAGCGACTTTTTTTCAGATTGGTGACCAAGGTATATTGGTAAAATGTAACCAAAATATAACAGTGCGTTCATTGTCCAAAGTCATATAAGTACATCTATATTTATACATTAATAAGTAAAATAGTATTTATGATTATATTTTTTATTGCAATATTTAATATTTTCTAAGGGAGCATTATGCATACAATTTAATAAAGAGAACCAAATTTAAATCATTTCTGTAACTCTTGAATTCAGGCAATTAATACCACTTAAAAAAAAATAGTACTTATTTGAAAATGCTAAATAAAAAAAGATAAAAAAAGCTCGAACCTTATTAGGTTTTTTTTAAATAAGTGACATGCATTATCACAATTGTATATTTTCTTAAATAAAGATAACAATGTGAGCGAAAACCATAAAAGCCTCACTCAGAGATGTCTATTAAATTTAATTCTATATCAATCAAATTTTGATTTATTCTTTAAAATTATCAAGTAGTAAGTGACTAAGTACACCAACTTTGTTCAAACTCAAAAGTTTATTGTCTTCTCCGAGTGTGACCATAAGTAGTGTAAACTCCATGTAACGTCACTCGATTTAACGACAAACTCCCTAAAGCGTCGAAATCACTCGTCTTTGGTTGGTTTAGTTTGTTTCCATACAATGATGCACTCCATATAGCATTACACCCATTCTCAATAACAACAACAATTAAGTAATAAATAGTACCTTTTAAATTGCCAATATTAGTGAAAATCGCGCAGCTGTGTACGTTCTTTTGTCGCTTTATTATCCTAGCCCGTAATAAACTCGACTGCCGGCATCATACAAACCAAACTTTCTAAGAAATTAGTTTTGTTTACAAATTGGGATTTCTCGCGTAGACTGTTGTTGACCATGACTAATAAGGAGGAGTCATGGACTTAATACTGGTGCAGCAAAAGAGGTCAGACAAAAAATAACAGAATATATGCAATAGCGTTTAAATAAGATTATTTTTTTATGTACATAACTACTACCTTGAAATAAACTTTTTCTTTTCATTATTCTGATTTTCCTTCCCTTAAGTGCCGTTATATAGAGTTTACACTGTATATAAAAGATTCATACATACACTCAAATGAGAATGTTAAGATACGATATATATATTTCTTTGATAATTCCCTTCTTAGCTAATTTTTATCTTTCAATAATTTGTTTTTTAAATAATTCTTATCCTTTTTGACAAACACAATAAGTTAACAAAACCTGTCAATTTATTCTGCTTGGTCATAAACACAATATGTATTGGAAATAAAGTTAAAGAAATTATTTAATACATAAAATATAATTTAACTCATACCATGCTCCCATGTCTTATATTTTCAATAACTTGTGATTCAAAGAAACAAGAAACCCTCACAAAAGACATAAAACAAACTATTTTTTATCACCACTAAAGACGCCAATACCTAATAATAAGCATTTACAAAAAAAGCAAAACATAGGGACCTAGTGTAAATACTTATTTATGGGTAAAACTTCTTTTACATATATTTCAATCTAATTTTCGGGGAGGAAAACGTCGAGAGCCAAACCTCGAATTTTGCAATTTTATACTTAATTTTCAGTGTTAGCAGTAGCTAACGGTATTATTCGATGCACGACAGCAACAGTTTTTGAAATACCTATTTCTCATATGTCTCTCAGCTCGCGTCCTCTCTTAATGTCTACGCTCTGCTGGGACACAGGCCTTCATTGAGGTTGGCATATAGAGAGAACGTCATATATCACAAGAAAATCTTTTACCCGCTTGATGGTAAGCGCTTACCATGATCTATGGAGACCTTAAACACCAAGAAGCACCAGACGCGTGCTGCCTACCCATTGATAACTTTTCTACGCCTCTTTTGAAGAAACTTATGCTGTATGTTCTTTTGGGAAAGCCTCAACAAAGAATTCATTTCACAACTTAATCGTAACAGGGGGGAAATGCCTCTGAAATCGTGCAGTTTCTGTCCAGCTTGGATAATAAAAATATTGTTTAATTAATACTTATTATGTAAAAAATTATAATTATATTTTTCTTGTCTCTAGATACCAGTGCTGGGCCCATAACAGTGTGGTTCAGATCTGACGAGGGATATGTCGGCAGAGGATTCAAGCTTCAGTATAAGCAGAATTCTTGTAATAATCCAGCGTAATGGCAAAAACTAGCGACTTTTTTTCAGATTGGTGACCAAGGTATATTGGTAAAATGTAACCAAAATATAACAGTGCGTTCATTGTCCAAAGTCATATAAGTACATCTATATTTATACATTAATAAGTAAAATAGTATTTATGATTATATTTTTTATTGCAATATTTAATATTTTCTAAGGGAGCATTATGCATACAATTTAATAAAGAGAACCAAATTTAAATCATTTCTGTAACTCTTGAATTCAGGCAATTAATACCACTTAAAAAAAAATAGTACTTATTTGAAAATGCTAAATAAAAAAAGATAAAAAAAGCTCGAACCTTATTAGGTTTTTTTTAAATAAGTGACATGCATTATCACAATTGTATATTTTCTTAAATAAAGATAACAATGTGAGCGAAAACCATAAAAGCCTCACTCAGAGATGTCTATTAAATTTAATTCTATATCAATCAAATTTTGATTTATTCTTTAAAATTATCAAGTAGTAAGTGACTAAGTACACCAACTTTGTTCAAACTCAAAAGTTTATTGTCTTCTCCGAGTGTGACCATAAGTAGTGTAAACTCCATGTAACGTCACTCGATTTAACGACAAACTCCCTAAAGCGTCGAAATCACTCGTCTTTGGTTGGTTTAGTTTGTTTCCATACAATGATGCACTCCATATAGCATTACACCCATTCTCAATAACAACAACAATTAAGTAATAAATAGTACCTTTTAAATTGCCAATATTAGTGAAAATCGCGCAGCTGTGTACGTTCTTTTGTCGCTTTATTATCCTAGCCCGTAATAAACTCGACTGCCGGCATCATACAAACCAAACTTTCTAAGAAATTAGTTTTGTTTACAAATTGGGATTTCTCGCGTAGACTGTTGTTGACCATGACTAATAAGGAGGAGTCATGGACTTAATACTGGTGCAGCAAAAGAGGTCAGACAAAAAATAACAGAATATATGCAATAGCGTTTAAATAAGATTATTTTTTTATGTACATAACTACTACCTTGAAATAAACTTTTTCTTTTCATTATTCTGATTTTCCTTCCCTTAAGTGCCGTTATATAGAGTTTACACTGTATATAAAAGATTCATACATACACTCAAATGAGAATGTTAAGATACGATATATATATTTCTTTGATAATTCCCTTCTTAGCTAATTTTTATCTTTCAATAATTTGTTTTTTAAATAATTCTTATCCTTTTTGACAAACACAATAAGTTAACAAAACCTGTCAATTTATTCTGCTTGGTCATAAACACAATATGTATTGGAAATAAAGTTAAAAACTATTAAGTAAGGAAAAATGATGTTTTCTGGTAACCTAATGTGCTGTTAACACTTTATTTGGTTATTTTCCTCCTAAATAATATTACTAAATAAAGAAATTCTAATGTTTTCCTTATATATAAATGCAAAATTTTGGAATAATATTTTTAACAATAGTTTGCAATCAATGCATTGTTGATATAAAAGTAAATTCTTTTTGCAATTATAACATTGGTGCATTATTGTCCATTATTGGACTTTTTGCTTTTCTAATTGTTTCCTCTCTACTAAGCCATTTTTGACAATTTTATGGAAAGATAATATGATGCTAACCATGATGGCTCTTAGTAATCCCATAGAAAAAACTTGTATTAAAACCTGTAAAGTACTATCAATTGATCCACCATTTAATATTGACAGCATTTGCCCAGAGAATCCAAAAACTGAGTAAGTTCTACCAATCTGAAACAAAATATTCAGTTAGAAATTTTGTATACAAGTTAAATTAAATATATAATCATGATTTTAAAATCATTTACCATTGCATCTTGAATGATTTTCTTGCCTATATTATCTGCAGATTGTAATCCACCGCAACCAGATATAAGTTTTGTTTCTTTAGGTTTAGTTAGCTCCTCTTTCTCAAATCCAGGGGTGTCCGTATCAGGGGGAAATGCCAGAGTTAATCTTACATTTGTCCCAACCAATTCCATGAACAAAGACTCTGCCAATCCCCTAACAGCCCATTTTGCAGCACTGTAGGCACTATAGCCATAGATTCCTTCAAATAAACATATATTTCTTTAACTACAAATGCATCTTGTATTAATGATATTGTTGAGTATATAAATACTTTCCTATTTGTTATTTTTACTTTTATTTTATTTCAAAATACAATTGGAAAAACAATTTGCAAAAGAAACCAGTTTTTTAATACAAACAGCAAATTATACTACCCCACCTGATGTTAAGTATAGTTATTATGAAAGCCACAGCACTAACTTCCTTAAATTCCTGACCCTGTGGATTCCTGGAGCCTAGCATCAGAAACACAGCACCACCAAGAGGTAGTATTAACATCATATCACACCGAATATGACACTGTAGAAAATAAAGTTATGTTTTGAGTTGCTTTATTAAAATGTGCGAAAATGTCTTCTCTAAAGTGGTTATTTATGCCTACAGCTTCTATTGCTAAAAAAGGCTGGTTGATATAGGTATATTTATCTAATAGAACAGTATATTCACTTACCAATGAATGCTGCTTCAGATGATACAAACACTATCATACCTTCATCTCTTTCCTTCATTGATTTAAGAACATACCTAGTCGTGTATGCAGTGCCAAAATAATTTAGATCAATCATCATCTTAATATCTTGCACTTTCATGTCCTCAAATTGGCCACAAATGCATGTACCGGCACAGTTCACAAGCATGAAGATTGGGCCAATGTCTGTTTCCAAGTCTGCGATGCATTTCGATATTACTTCGTATTCAGAAGTCACATCCAGTGCAGCGTATTGAATGCTTTGGGTGGATTTGTCCATACATTGTGCTATGATTTCACTGACTGCACACTTTAATTTCGTTACATCCCGACCGATTATAGTAACATTAGCACCCAATTTCGCTGCTTCTATTGCCGTCGCTTTACCAATACCGCTAGATCCACCGGTAACTACAACGTGCTTATTTTTCAAAGTTTTGTAAACCACTTTTTTATCTAACGACATATGTAAAATTAATACCATAACAATTACAAGTAATATAACGATCAAAGCAATGTAAAATAGCATTTTATATTATTATAATTTATTTCTAATTAATAAAACCAATGGAATAGGAAAAAACCTTTTTGCAATAAAAAAATCGGCAGCGTAGCGAGCAATTCAGCCGATTTGCCATTTTTTTTAATAGATTATCGCCCTTGGTAGGGACACGAAAAAAGTATCGATACTTTGTGGTATCGAGTACTTTTCCTTTCGATACCGATACTTTTGTACTCGATACTTTGTATTCGATACTTTTACTTATCGAGTACTTTTAGGCAAGTAAGTATCGATACTTTTAAAATTTGGATAAGCGCCTCATATTGTTATGATATATTCAAATTCTTTCCAATCTGTGACTGTGTTTATTTTGCGCTTTGTTTTGTTTCATAGTTATTTATTTAGCGACCATATTGTTAGGAATTGTGATTGATGATTCGCCGTTTATTGTGCTTTTCGCTTGACTGCATTTGATGTTTAATAATTTTGTGTTTAATCCGTGCGGTGACGGAGAAAGAATACAACTCACCGCCCCTTTTCTTCCCGTGGGTGTCGTAAGAAGCGACTAAGGGATGTCGGAGCTTCCATCCGCTCTTCTGGTGGTAGGGTGCCTAACACCCGCCTGGTTTGTTACCACCGTGCGCATGGTGAAAAACCCGTGAAGTGCTTCTCGCGCGTTTCGGGGTCAGCCAGCGTACAACCAGAGCTCGAGTGGAAGTTGTCGCCAAGGATTCGGTCCAGGGGAGGCATCCGTGGAACCGATGCCGGGAGGACTGCATCGACCCGTCGGCCAGGGAGACCCGTAGAAACGGCTGTCCCGCTGGCCGCCCGTGGCACAGTACAGGGGCCCAAGCGTTCCTAACCAGTTCGCGAGGCTGCCCCATCATGTCACGCATAATCACGGGGTGGACCGTCGTGCCGGTTGGTGACCGGGGCGTGGGGTCCCGGCGGCCACTCCCGGGGGGGGTGCGGGGGCCCTTCCGTCCGGCGGGTCGGCGCATCTCCACTGCAGGCAGTCAATCGGCAAGACAAACCCCCCTTATTTGCCCGGACTCTTCGCGACGGCGTCCGCTCGTTTTCGTGTCTCTTTTTTTTTCACTTCCACCATGGCAGCCTCAATAACAAAGTTTGGACGTACAGCGGTGCACACCCCCACGCCTTCAACGCTGTTTGAGGTCGAGTTCTGCAACATACGCGGACTCCACTCTAACCTCAACGCTGTCCACCACCATCTCGAGACAGCACGGCCAGCATTGTTGTTCCTGACGGAGACACAAATACTTCCGCCTGCTGACACAGGCTACCTTAATTATCCCGGCTACGTGCTTGAAGAGTCCTTCAAAGCGATAGCCGGTGTATGCCTGTATGTTCGGGCGGATGTTTGTTGTCGCCGTCACCGCTGCTTGGAAGATCCCTCCTTCTCCATGCTGGGGGTACACGTCGACTCTGGCCCCCGGGCCAGAGTCTACGTGTGCCTCTACAGATCCCACACCGGCGATGTTGAGACAACTCGACTTTTTGAACACCTTAGTCGGGCAGCAGATGACGCGCAGGAGCGATTTCCCAATGCAGAATTGGTGTTTTTGGGGGACTTTAATGCTCACCACAATTTGTGGTTAAGTTCTTCCAAAACTGACCATGCAGGGATCTCTGCTCACACATTCGCTCTCACGCATGACTTGAAGCAACTGGTTGATCAGCCCACCAGGATCCCAGATATTCCAAGTCAAGCGCCTTCTTTACTGGACCTTCTGCTCACGACCCATCCACAGGGCTATCAGGTTGTGGTAAGAGCCCCCCTGGGCTCGTCCGACCACTGCCTGATATCTGCCAAAGCACCACAGGCCAAGCCTCCGCGTCCAGCAGTGGTCAAGCGCCGTATCTGGCATTATGGGTCGGCAGATTGGGACGGTATGCGTGATTACTTTGCGTCCGTCCCTTGGAAGCAGCGCTGCTTCAGTGACAGGGACCTATCGGGCAGTGCCGTTGCCATTACTGAGGAGATCATAATGGGTATGGAATACTATATTCCTTATTCTGATCTCATCAGTAAGGGCACACGTAACCTCTGGTTCAATCACGACTGTGCTGAAGCTGCTTCGCGTAAGCAAGCGGCATATCGTGCTTGGATCAGAGGCCGCGCTCTCAAGGATCCCGGGGTCGATTCACTCAAAGCAGCCTACAATTCTGCTTCCAAGGCCTGTAAGAAGGCTTACATCAGAGCGGATGCCCAGCGTGTTGCACGTGTTGGCCAGGAACTTATAACGCATCCTGCGGGCTCCCGTAGCTACTGGCGTTTGGCCAAGGCCGTGCAAAAAAACTTCTGCCAGCCCTCGCTGCCACCTCTGAGATGCCCAGACGGAACACTAGCTCATAAGCCGCAGGAGAAAGCCGATTTACTGGCAAAACTCTTTGCGGCTAACTCCCGAATCGATGATTGCAATGCACTGCCACCATCATTACCTCACTGTGGCACAACGATGCCTGATATTAAAATCAGGCAGCGTGAGGTTCGTGCCGAATTGCAATCACTCGACGTCCGGAAAGCTAGTGGACCTGATGGCATCCCAGCAGTAGTACTTAAAAAATTTGCAGCGGAGTTGTCTCCCGTGCTCACGCGCTTGTACCAATGCTCGTATTCTTTGGGGCGTGTGCCGGAGACTTGGAGAGATGCTAACGTGCAACCGGTGCCCAAAAAAGGGGATCGCTCAGACCCGGCAAACTATCGGCCAATAGCAGTCACCTCAGTTTTATGTAAAGTTCTAGAAAAGGTCCTTAATAACCATCTGACCCGCTACCTAGAGGATCACTCCCTGATTAATGATCGTCAATATGGATTTAGACCGAAACGATCGACGGGTGATCTTCTAGCGTACTTAACTCATATCTGGGGTGAGGCTATCGACAAGCGTGGCGAGTCGTTGGCTATCAGCCTTGACATTGCCAAGGCGTTCGACAGGGTCTGGCACAAAAGCCTTCTCTCCAAGCTTCCGGCATACGGTCTGCCAGCCCAGTTCTGTTCTTGGGTAGCTGACTTCCTGCATGAGCGTAGAATTCGTGTCCTTACGGATGGTAGCAGTTCGCGGTTCATGTCAGTGAATGCCGGCGTTCCCCAGGGCTCCGTCCTATCCCCCACTCTCTTTCTGCTGCATATCAATGACTTGATTCCTCTTGGGAATATTCATTGCTATGCAGACGATAGTACAGTGCATGCGGGGTATCTCGGACAAGCAGCGGCTGGGCGGGCAGTAACCAGGGAGAAACGGGAAAATATTGTCATTGAGCTCAATCAGGCTTTGGACCACATTTCCGAATGGGGTACCAGGAACTTGGTTGGGTTCAATGCCAAGAAAACTCAGGCTTGCGCTTTCACGGCAAAAACATCGTCATTCCTTCCCCTTCCATCTCTTCAGGGCACAACACTACCGCTGCAGAGCAACATTTCCATGCTCGGTATGGAAGTTCGCTCAGACCTGAATCCAAAGGACTACATCGAAACCGTGATCAAAACAGCTTCACGCAAACTCGGAGTCCTGAACAAGGTGCGGCGTTTTTTCGCGCCCGATCAACTGTGCTTGTTGTACAAAACGCAAGTGCGGTCCTGCGTGGAATATTGATCGCACCTCTGGGATGGCTCCGCCAAGTACTTGCTCGATGCTTTGGATAGGTTACAGCGGCGCGCGATCCGCATCATAGGCGATGAGGAGGTGACTAAACACCTTGAGCCTCTTCAATTACGCCGTGACGTGGCGTCACTAAGCGCGTTCTATCGTTTGTACCACGGCGAGTGTTCTGAGGAGTTATTCTCTCTTATCCCACCTTCCCCTTTCCTTCAGAGGACCACGCGCGCTGGCCTACGTTGTCACCGTCTTACTGTAGCCACAATTCCAACGCGTACAAAGAAATTTGGTGACTCATTTCTTTGTCGCACTATCCGTAAATGGAATGCTCTGCCCGCTCACGTGTTCCCTCCCTCTTACAACCTGGGATCCTTTAAAAGAGGCGTGAAGAAGCAACATGCAGGCCGGCAGGGTGAGGATGGCTGGTGTGGCAGGTAGAACTGCTGTATCAGCTATCTTCACGTCTGGACTTCACCTTCACTTAACATCAGGTGGGGTGGAGTCATTTGTCGGACCTAACTATAAAAAAAAAAAAAGAAATGTATTCAAGTGTAACACTATTATTCTGTCTGTGCTGTGTATACCTATTTGAAACCACGGACCTGAAAAAAAAACGGACGTAACCTCTTCTATAATTATAATATTGAGTGAAGCATGCCAATGGCCGCCGTTAACTGCGTGTCAGATTCAAGTAACATTTTAATTATTAATGTGATATTAATGAACACTTTTTAAGTGTCAGAAATCACAGCTATTTTCTTTTCATTATATAATATAGCAATTTGTGAATTTATATGTCCTTTTACTGTTATTATACGTACTATAATAAAATTGGATTGTTTTTCTTTCAATTTTTAACCCGGGGGGGGGGGGGGGGGTTGCTCATCGGGCCACAGAGGATCCGATAAGGCCCTATGAAATGTACTCGATACTTTGAAGTATCGATACTTTTGTTTCGATACTTTTACGAGTACGATACTTTTTTACCGATACTACTCATGAGTACAGTATCGATACTTTCTATTCGATATCGTGTCCCTAGCCCTTGGATGAAATCCAGCCGATTTGCCTGTAAATGACATTGACATAAACAATTTTTTTAAAGATTTTCCCTTTTTAGTAAAGGCAAAGGGAACAATGCCCATACAGCCTAAACTTTAATTAAATTAATCTTTTTTTTGTTTTTACATTAGAATGTCGGTGTGACGCATTCTAATGTTTCTTGGAGTGTTTGGCACGAAATGCATCGAGTCGGCTTTTTCGATAAGCTTCTGTGAGGTAGTCAACACTACAATAAAGTTCTCACGTCCAATTGACCGGAATAGCGTATATTTTAAAGATTCCACTAATTCTTCAGTTGCGCAGAAGGCGGTTGTTCTCTAAATCACTCAAATTTTATTTCACAATATTCACTATGAACAGATTTAAGAATAATTAAAATAAGACGCCTATGAGCGCTGTTATGGATATTGGTTTGGTTTTCACACAGACATATATAGAACATTTTTTTTTACCAATATATATAATAGGGGTGATGAAACGGTACAGTAAACGAAATTCTATTTAGTCCGTCAGTTAGATGATTAAAAAATAATGGACTCGTATTTTTTCTTTGGGCAATAATAAATTTTTGATCGTACGTGGCCTTTTTTTCTGTGTTCAAAGGACAATGGTCAAAAATGTAAGAAGCCTGGTACACGCACCCATAGCCATAATATGTATATCATTGGAAAGGTCTTTTTACAAGGACTAAGATTAAGGATAACTAAGACCCTTGTCTCCATTTGCTGTCGGAACGGAATTATTTACTGTTATGTATTCTTTTTTTTGTTTTTGTTTGTTTTTTCAAAAGATAATGGTGGTGTTATATCGTTATCTTGTATAGAATTATGTGTCTAATGATAAAAATAGGAAGATGATATGAAGATTCAGGATTTAAAAAAAACGATAGAAAAGTGAGAAACGTTATTTATTTTTGAATCATTATCCATAATCACATCGTTGAGGAACGCTGCAGGAGCAGCGAACCCTTCATGTCTGGCATATCCTAGATACCACACAATGGAAACTATATGAGCACAAGTGCCGATTGTTCGTCGTCCGGTCAAACTCGTGCAGTAATAATTGCATAAAATGTTATGGATATTCGTTTGGTTTTCATTAACATTGTTTTTTACCAATATATAAAAATAATAAGTTTTGGATCACACGTGACGCGACTGTATGCGTCCGCGGAAAAGCCAAGTATCTTCGTTTATGCCATATTCAATTAAATCTTCGAATGCGCTTTCTCTACATATTTCTAAAATGTATAATCCATTTGACAAATGCTCGCTGCAGTAGGATCGTGCTAGCTTTAGCTGGTAGGTGCCTAAAGAAAGTAAAATAATCTGTTCTTCCGTCAGTAGTGGGAAGTTCTGTATGTCTTGACTTAAAGAAATGATTATTTGAAAATCCGCTCTTCGATTATTTAAACGTTTTGTTTCTACATAATCATAAAGTATATTTGGGGAATCTATTTTTCTCCTGATTATGTATAGGAAGGCCTCTGCGTGAATGTTGTCATCGATGGGTATGTGCAATTTATTTATTAAAGCTGAGGCGATTTCAAAATCAATAAACATTTTCGGTAGTGTTTTATTAAAGTAAATTTGCCGCAAAAGCTTAAAATCTCTCTTGAACCTCTCGTTCACCACTTCCACTACCCACCGGCATATTGTAACTGATCGAGCTTCATTACTTTGCTCAGTAGTTAACTGCGTCTCCCATCTGTATTTAGATGGTGGAACTTAGGTTTCATATCCACATGCTTCGATAGCATCTAAGCTGTCCCGGAAGGTGCGAACTAATATAAAAACATCGTTCGGTTGAAGAAAGCAATGTAATAGGTTTTCTTGATCATTCACTATGTCGCTCATTTCATTCATTTCATTTCATTTTTTTCATTTTCGTGTTTTCAATCATAGGTACTATGTAATATTATCGTATTTTTGCAATTATGATGTCAACTAAAACTGGAACTTTGGGGGCTTTCCGTGGTTTTCAGACAAGGTTTTGGGACAAGTCGCCATAGTAAATATTTTTCCAGATTATAAGAGCTATCCAATGACACCAAATTGATTTCTATTGGTGCGTGTACCAAAATGCCCATTCTCCTTTTTTAAATATAATTCAAAAAAATAGCTCTTTGTTTTATTGAAGTATAATAGCACTTTTTCTGTAAAACGTGATAAATACTAGAAAATACTTGGATTACTTTGAATACATAATATAGAAATTTTCAGGGCACATAAAAAGCTTAAAAAACAATAAAACATGTAATTAATATTAAACGAGGAGGAAAATGGCATAGCTAAAAATCGAGTTTTAGCCAATAGATTGTCTCTCACTGTTACCAAATAGATTATAATGTAGTTAAAAGCAAGGAGGAAATTAAATTAAATCTAAAACTTCGGCTGTATGGATCTAGTTAAGTTCGCATTCATAGATAAAATTAAAACATGGAAATGTCATGTCATTATGTCAGTTTGATTGACAGTCCCTCTGTCATTGTCAAAATATCGATTACATTTCGTTTATTTTTTTACAATTAATTTTTATTTTAAGTTTAATCAACACTGATTCTGCTATAAGTATTCAAAGTGTTTAGTTATTTAAATATAGATTGATATTAACAAGATTCTTTTTTGAATATCGCTCCGTCCGCCTGTTTGTAAACATGAATTTGGAGACCAACAGGCTCAATACATTTGCGAATTGGCCCTCATCTGCGCCAGTGGACCCAATTAGGATTGCAAAAGCGGGTTTTTACTATACGGGCGAGGGTACGGAGGTGCAGTGTTTTAGTTGCGGAGGCAAAATATCGGAATGGAACTACGGTGATCAAGTGATGTGGCGTCATAGGCATTTGGAACCTAACTGTGAGTTTGTGGTAAATCCGAGACTCTCAGGAAATGTTCCTTTAGTTTTAAATACGGACTGTCCTTTAAACGTGGACTCCTCTACATCTTGGTCTGCTCCTGAAGAAAGTAATAATGATAATGCTGATACATCACAGGATTATGGCTTGACTGATGAAGATGTTATGTATCAAATTGATGCTCTACGTCTCTTATCATTTAGTAATTGGAACGTAAGTATTGAAAGACAATAGGTATTTATTTTTCATTAGGTTATTCATATTTATATTGCTAGTTATTAACTTGTTGAATATTAATAAGTGAAAAGCAATGGAGATTTCATTAAATATTGTCATTTGCAATCCATCTTTCATAAGCTGTCCAGAGGATTATTTGCCTTAGTCAGTCAATCATTATTTATACCACTTTTCCCTATTATATTAAAATAATAGGGAAGGGTATCATACATTGAGTTGCAAAGTAATAAGCTATATTTAGATATCTATCTTATTAAACAAACTAACTTATCAGTGTCTGTAATAATATCACAAGTTCTGTTATCAGCCCACTTGACCTAAACATGACTGTTTAGTTTTTTTTTTGTTAATGTTCTTCATTATTTCTTTTTACTTTTATTGTTTGTTTAAATCTCTCTTAGAGTCATAAAAATAAACCTTAGATATTTTTTATTATGATAAATTCAGAGTCAGATTGTGTCTATGAATACAGCACTTTTCCATTTTTTTTATCAGCTGTACAGGCTGTATTCACTCACCACAAGTTTTAAGATTCATAGTGCACAACTTTAGTATAATAATACTTAACCTTGAAGAACATTAATGCACAATTTTTTTCATTGTTATTGTCACTTGTGAAACTGATTTGGTTTTAATGAAACAGTCAAATGCTTTAAAGTTTATTTTCATCTGTCCAGGATACATCAGTGTCACGAGAGGCACTTGTTAGCGCAGGTTTTTATCATGTCGGAGAGGGTCGATTGCGGTGTGCATGGTGCGGTGGTGAACTTGCTCCCTTTAGGCGATTTGGATCACTTGGACCTCCACTTGAAGTACATAGAATGTAAGATGTTTATTTTGTTGTAGAGTAAAGAGTCACAATTGTGATCCCAGTTATCTATAATTCTAGTTGTGTGATTATCTGAGCTGACATCCCCAAGTGAACTTCTTTGTGATTTGTGGTAACTTCTAATGACTACATTTGAAAATTATTCAAAATCTTGGTTTGTACATTCCGGGTATTGATTGATTTATGAAGTTTTTGAATAATTTCAATGAATAATGTGAAACTTTATTATTATATGCTCATTTGAAAGATTAAGGGAGTTCCCCTTTTCATTGATTTAACATATAGATAACTTTATGTCAATGAAGAATGAATCACCCAACAAGTAAACAATCTTAAATCATCATAGTATACCAATATTATAGTACCTGTGATTTAATTTACTATACTCTTTAACAACAGTGTTGAAAGTAGTATGATTGTTAAAATGTTATTTCTTAACATTATGACAAACAATGTTATCAAATTGAGCATTATGAGATTAAGGGAGTTCCCCTTTTTTTCGATTTATCAGATAACTTTACCTCAATGAAAAATTAATCAGTTTGCATTGATATCATCAGATTATTAGTGTCCCCATTGTGGGGCACAGGCCTTCCCTATTGATGGAACAGAAAGATTGGGCTGTTACACATCATACCCAGAGCCAATTTATTCACGAACCTTCTGAAGCTGGAAGAAGCTCAAGATAATAAGTTATTGGTCACATCTCCAATGACCAACCATTGCAAAAGTTAAACAATTGTAGGCCGAATGCGACAAACACCTGCTCCATTGAGCTCCTCGTATATAATCTGCTTATAATTATAAAATTAATACTATAGCTATAACTGTATTTATTAACTGTAATGTAATATTATTATTCACAATACTGTAAGCTAAATCATGGAAGTAACTAGATCACAATTGCCTGTTGTCGCATTGTTGAACAAAAATGTTAATATATATATTTTTTTAAGCACTTTACTGCTATTTGTTTATCTTTTTTTTCTCCTTTATTATCTGTAATTGGCTAAGCCAGCCATGAACACATGTTTACCAGTGCTTAGTACTTGGATGGCTGATTCCCCTTTGCGAATCATTGCCATTGTAATAATAATCACATAACAGGGTGGCCGGAACATTGACATTTAAAAAAAAACTGTTCCTTAATTTTGTGGTGTATCCAAATCACCCCCATGTATGTTCCACGACTTTTTTATAGTTTGTGGGCGTGAGTGGTAATTCTTTTACCTGCAATGGACCGACAGGATAAGAGACAGAATTATTGCCATCTCTCTCACTCTCAGTGGTGAGATGGGCAGAGTTCAACCAAAGCCAACGCAGAATAAGCCCCCCCCCCCCCCCACTAATAAGTTAAACTAATAATAAGTTATCTTCATAAGTTTTTCCATGATTTTCTAATGAGTGACGCAAGTCCCTTTTGATTGATAAACACGATATTTGCATTGCAGGTACTTCCCCAGGTGCGCGCATGCGGCCTCATTGGAGATAGCGCAACAGGCCAATAACATTTCACCGCCGTCTTCATCGCCATCGCAAACACCACCAGTGCAATCGCCACCGGAAATAATTGAAAATCAGCGCCAATCGTGAGTACGAATATGTAGATAGTGGTGCTGATTCTGGCATGATTCTCATAAATTAAAACTTAAGGAGACGGTTGAATTTGTATGAAGTTATTAAATTATCGTCCACACCGAAGCGCAGCTAGGGCGGGTCGCTAGAACTGGTCAACTGCGGAACCCTACATTACGTGTGGCCCTACATCAGGTGCGGTCGCAGCCTGAAATTTTGGAGGGGGTCAGTCACTACACTAATAAAAAATAGGTATCTGGAATAAAATAAACATTATTCCACAAGACACTTTTTGACACAAGATTTTTCAATTTGACCTTAGATTTTGGGGTCATGTCTCCTGTGACCCCCTTCGGACCGCGCCTGCCCTACATTACGTGTGGCCCGACACTCAATCTCGGCACATGAGTAGATTAACGGAACAGAGACAAAGCTTCATACAACCTCCCGAATCGGTTGTACTACTACAAGCACGCGGGGCATTGTGTGCGTGACCACTGGCCGCTTGTTGCGTACGCGGCTACACTGGAAATACCGGTTTACCGCTGGCACAGCCAGTTGACAATCACAGGGTCGGTGCGACGCACTCCACAAGCTAATTTAATATAATATGTGAGATACATTGTGTTTTCATGCGATTGCCAAGTCAATTTATTTTTATAAAACAGGGTTGCAAATTATAAGATAAGATAATTATTTTCTCTGATAATTATCTGTATCCTTTGCGCTATGAAATACGGACTAACAAAAAATACGACGATTGGTGGGAAAACTTAACTGGTGTTTACTCGTTTATTATCTATTTTTTATATTTTTTCTTATTTTGTATGGACCAACCTCTAGGCTGTATGGATATCCTTCATCTTCACCTATGCCCTATGAAAAACAGACTAATAAAAAATACGACGATTGGTGGGAAAACTAAAACAACTGGGACCGTGCATGCCATAGAAAAAGAAAAGAAAAAGAAAAGAAAAAGAAGATGACTTTTTGGCGGGATCGGGAAGCGTCACTTTAGCAGTTTTGTTTTTCTTGTTAAAAATTGAGTTGTGGCGGATGTTATTGTCTAATAATGGTGGATTATTAACCACTAAGTGTTCGGGAACATGCACAAGTGTTGGCATGTGAAACAAAATAGCGGAAAGTATCTTTCGACGTTCCCTCAAGAAGTCCACGGGAGGTTCCAGTAAATCCCCACACTTTTACTGAAACAGGGAACGGGGGATTGACTTGACTGCCACTTACTTTGACTTGATTTATTACTTTGACCACGAGTGCTATAGAATTAGTAAGCATTTTAACACTTGACATTGGCTAAATGCACAAGCCGTGCGAAGCCATTTAGAAAAAAAACAACGGGATTTCTGATTTATTTTTCTACAGAATTTTTATTCATTTCCCTGCATTTTTTTGAGAAAAGCACTCTGAAAGCCTCGGCGGAACTAGCAATTGCCTGACTCGTATTATTTAAACTCGTCCAGCAACAGTTACTCGTTATTATCAACGATAATTTTACTATCAATACGTAATTATTCGTGATAATTATCCAGTGCAACCCTGATTTAAAACATACAAGATATTTAATATTGATATGGTCAGTATAAGATGTTGTTAGGTGAGCTAATTTCGTAAAAACTCAGGACAGAACGTTCCTTAAGTAGAGACTGAATAAATTAACCGACTTGGCATAACATGGATCTCACAGGTTTTGACGGCAGAAGAAGTAGGACTGAGTTGCGAGACTTTTTTTTTACAAGTTATGTTTTTGATGGCATATAGCTCACTTTAACTATCCTAAGTAGTATAATAGGACGTGAAATACGCCAACATTGCCTACAAGGGTATCTTTGCCACTTTAGCAAGCTACAAAGAAATCTTTGATTTAAAAATATATTAATATTATGTTAAAATTGTTTAAGTTTAGGTAAGAGTATCATCTAATAAAAAAAAACTCAGGTTGCCATTGAAAAATCCAGAAATAATACATTTACCTATATGAAAAAAAAACGGCAATGTTGGCGTGTTTGTTGTTTCAAGTACGTAGGTATATTTTTTTGATTGTTGACGACACCGTGTTGCGTAGTGGGTAGAACATCTAAGTGTCACGCTTAAGGTCGCGGGTTCGATTCCCGTTCAAATCATATATTTGTGTGATGAGCATGGATATTTGTCTTGGTCTGGGTGTTTTTTCTACGTATAGTAATAATAATACAAACTCATAGTATAGTAAAAAAAGTATAGTATGTATGTTTATACGTTGTCTAGTATCCATAATGCAAAGGTAAGAAAATTATAACTTGTTTTTTTTTAATAAAATTATTAGAGTAAGTAATTTCTCAAGTATTCTCTCATGCTGAATGAAACTACTTAACAAATGTTTTGTTTAATTTGCCTTAACCTATTGTGACACCCCTACCAAAAGAGGTAACAATTTTGCACGTTCTTAGGAAGCTTTGTCTCTGTTCCGTTTATCTACTAATGTGATATCGGTCAGTTTTTTTTATAAAAAGAAGCTTCTTACTGGGCCTATGAAACTTCAGTGGTTTAAATTATAAAAGATTGAATAGGTTCGGATAGTAAAGATCATCATCATCATCATCAGCCTATTAATGTCCCCACTGCTGGGGCACAGGCCTTCCCTATGGATGTATTAGGAAGATTGGGCCATGACCCACCACGCGGGCCCAGTGCGGGTTGGGTGCTAACGACTGCCGACGACGACGCAGCCGGGACCAAAGGCTTAACGTGCCTTCCGAAGCACGGAGGAGCTCGAGATAGTAAATTTTCGGTCACCTATCCAATGACCGACCACTGCGAAAGTTGACCGTTTGCTCAACGACCGCAGCCGAACGCGCTTACCACTGGCGCCATCGAGCTCCTCAAAGTTCTCCTCGAGGTTAGTAAAGATACTTAGTTTGTTTTTATTGCAGGCGACATAAAACTATTACAATGCAAATACAAGATTTTAACAAAATATTTATTTTCCTTATCAAAAAAGACATTATGTATTTGTCTTAGTTAATATTTTGCAATACTTAGATGGCATTATAATTTTAGACAAATAGAAGTAATAGTCTTACACATTTAAATAAGTTAGAATATAAACTAAAAAAATATCGCCACCAAACTACGTTTCAATAGTGGGTAGAGAAACCTATATAATCCTCTATCTTGATTCTAGAAGCATAATTTAACTATTGTTAATATTTTACAGTGACATAAATTTGATTGCTTTGGTAGGTACTTATTCACCAACAACACGGAAGATGTAGCGCGATACTTACTGTCGAAGGCTATTTCCTTACGTGACCAAGTGAGAATTGGCATTGGTTTCTGTGTTAATTTTGTATACAACAGTCGACTATATGGGTCGTGTGATAAAGTTTTTAACGATTACTATGAAGACTCCTATTTTTCTATTTTGTGTGAGAAGGTATAACTTTTGTTCTATCCTAATTTTGTTTTATGACCCACTTTAGAAATATTTTATAAGATTGCTTAATGATTTACGTAAAGTTATGATTGCAAGTAAGTGGTTTTTTTATGAAATAAGTATCTTATTAATTTAAAGCTTTTTGGTAACGAAAGGAGATTGCTCAAATTGGCCCAAATACACAAAAAATATTGACATATACGGTAATTCTTGGCATAATTTATACTTTATTTTACAGTCATTAGATTTTAACGGACACCTTTGTAAAATATATTCATTTTAAAAAGGACTTTTAATTTTACCGGTTTGGGAAACATACGAATCATTTTTAATGGCTATGGGTGTAGTAACATTCAGCCAAAGACTGATCGAAGTTGTTATATAACATAAAATCAAATCTATTTTGTAAAGATCTTCAAAATGAATATTTTTTTTTATTACACTGTGGTATTAATATCCGCAACTATACAGTTAAAGTTCCTTATTCGCGGGGTATGCGTTCCAGAAATATGCCGCGAATACAGAAACCGTGAATATGGAGTGGCAATTTATGTTAAATTATAGGGGTTACGTTCCAAAGCGCAAAAAAATTTTTTGAAGTTATACTTCTTTAGCCGCGTTATGAAAAAATTATGAGAGTGAAATTTTCATCACTGTAACACAAATTTTTAACATAATGAAGTTAGCCGCGGGCGCGTTATTTGTAATATTTTATTTTCCAAGTGACCGTGGGACAGATTTGAACAAAGCAAACACGGCAGATTTGAACGGGACATTTTTTTTTATTAATCAATGAATTGAAGTTCATTTTTGTTAGGCTTAGGCAAGCGTTTAAGGAACTGTTAATTAAACGATAGCACTGATATTTATCACATCGAAACTATTTTTTTCTTTAACGATATTATAATTTAGGAGCACAGCGGAAGAGAAGAGTTACTCGATCACAATTTTTGGAATGAATGAAAAGGGGGGTGAATAAATACGCAAAGCGGCTCTTACCAAAGGATATGGCGGAGAGTCTAACTTACATATGTGATGTTATCATAATATATGATATGATACTTATACATTTAAAAATATATTTGAAGCATAGAGTAATAGGTTGTTTTACATAAACATTATTCTGTTTTGAACAAACAGCGTCTGTCGAAAAGAAAAGGCGAACCATCTTATGCACCGGCGATAGCATTTGCCAACATACCGTAGACGAAGTTCAAATAAGGTCTATTTTATTTATTTTATAATTACTCCATCTACCGACGCGTTAACGAAGGTTACCAAATCCTTTATATTTTGATTAGATCCGCGAATAACAATTTTTTTGCCGCGAATATGGGAATTTGGTCGCAATTTTTTAATCCGCGAATAGTGAGAACGCGAATATAGGAAGCGTGAATAAGGAGCTTTTACTTACACTACATGCAAATGTGATTAGACAATTATTATAGATAGTAGGCGACATCATAAAGTCTATTGCCATACATTTTTCGCGAAACACCTCCATAAACACATTATAAGGTGTGATACACTAAAAATCTAAAATGTGGTTATAATATAAACATAACAAAAATAATGAAGCTACTTAAGATATGGCTGTATAACCTTAAATCTCTTAGCTTTCTTTGGTTAACGAGAGTTTAAAAATTCAAAAAAGTTTTATACCTATTTGCAAACATAACCTCAAAATCGTTCAGTGTATATGGTTTATAGAAGTTCTCAGGGGTGTCCGTCTATAATATTCGTTTCTACAGTAACTTATATGTAATTTCGAATCTAGAAAACAATTTTTCATGATTATTGGTCTTTAGGCCAAACATGTATGGAAGCTGAGAAATCTCCTTTATCAACAATAAACGTTGTCTTATTTGAGAGCGCTAATATCCCTATTAGCGCTCTCAAATAAGACAACGTTTATTATACCCAAAAACACACATACAACATACACAAACATACAGACAAATACCCATTTGACAGTGTTAAAAATAAAGTGCCAATTGTTAGCATCTGTATTTAGAATGAATATTGGCAGGTGTTTTTACTAATTTTACAAAAAAAAAATCATAATTTTACTAAAAACTAAAGAGAAAGATAATAGTTTTCTTATTTATTGTCACGTGACCCAAAACGCTTGGGATTGGCGGAGCCTACAATGACGTCACACGCAAGTAAACTTCCGGTTAAAATGACATTACATTGTATCGTTTGACGTTTTAATAACAGTCGTGTGACGTCACACACTAGTAAGACGCAATATTGTCCAGAGAAACGTTTTCGCGGCAACTTGAAAATGTAGTTTTTGATTTGGTTATTTTTATTGAAATATACAACAGAATGATGAATATCCATTTTTACGGACTTCCTAAACATAAGTCAATAGCGTGATATCGTTTTTTAAAACTTGTTAAATACCCTATTGCGTGTTCTCGGAGTCAAGACAGGACAGTATCATATGTATGTGATATTACATAGGTATGTGATATTATGTTATAAGCATTTAAAGAATAAAAACCATTGCATGAAAGCAATGTGTGTCAGATGTAATGGCACTTTTAATACTTCACCTAACTGAAAGGCCTTTTTTCATCCTCATTTATTGATCGGCACCACTCTCTTCCTCCCGATGACATTTAACTATATTGCGATTCACATTTATGCAAATTGAAAATATACAAACAAATCTACGCAGTCAAATACTCAGATATTCCAAAAAAAAATTAAAATATCTTGTCGACGCCGCGCCGTCCAGCCTATCCGTCCCAACGTTTTCGGCTGGTTCAAAATATGGCACTACAGAAGAGTTCTGTCTCTCCCAATCATTGCCATAGAGAACGAGCATTGAGCTGATATAAGACATGTTGACACTCCGCTTTGAAGATACAAAATTTTTCGGTATAACGTTGGATTCGAGATTGCAGTGTGATACTCAAATTGATGCCCTATCCAGCAGACTAAACTCAGCAGAAAACGCTGTAAAAAATAAGGCTTCTCACTGATGTTGAAACAGCAAGGCGATTTGTTTAAAGAAATCAACATCTTAACACTGATTGGACAATACATATATGGGAACATGATTTATGTACATAAACATTACAGTAATTTTATTAAGAAAGATGATATTCATAAATTTAATACTAGAAACAAAGATAAACTTACTGTCATACCCGTTTATTAATAAACAAGGAATAAGCTTAGACTAGTTACGCGGTGTTTTGTTCATGTCACTCAAATGCCATTTGTCATTCAATAGACAGAGACAAAATATGAAGTAACTTATCCAAGCGTAATCTTTGATTATTATTAAGGGAGCAATGTTTAGATTATGAAAAACACAAAGTTCATTCTTGGGGAAATGCATAACTTTTTATAATAAATTGTCTTCTAGTATTACCGATCTTCATATGCATAAATTTAAAACTCGCGTTAAAAATACACTATTGAGCAAAGGATACTATCAAGTCCAAGATTATTTCAACGATCGAAATGTCTGGGAATAACCCATTCTCATCTTTTGCTCAATAAAGTTATCAAGTACAATGCAATATTAAATATTCTTGATATGTGTTACACATAAAGAATGTAATTATAATAATTGTATTGGTAACGACATATCTTTATGTAAATGTCGCTACTTTATAAAAAGCTGAGAATTTTCTTTCGCCTGTTCTTCTTGTCAGCTAAAAGATGTCCTCATCAGGTGGTAGGTAAAACATAATAAGGACGATTCAAAAAGTCAACGTACATTAAGTTTATTTTCATTTCATTTCAGCATACCCTTATAAACTATAAATAAACGACTGGGCAAATATGGTTGAAAGAGAGGATATGCTCGGCAATAGTCCTTATTATTCTGTACCTGCACTATGGCTTGATCTCTTTCTAGAGAATTGTCAATTTCATACGAGTGTCGCTCAGTATATTATCTAGGCATAGATAATGATATTAAAGCCGTAATTACTCAGGAACATGCTTCATTAACACACGCGTTGTCTCATTTTAGCAGGCGACACGAAACTTCATGTAACAATTAACAGTACTTCTCAAACGTCTAACTTAGAAATTTATTAATTTTTCTGAATTAGACGATTAATGACCGCAGACTTGTTGTTCATCTGTAGATGTTGCTGATGATATGTCTATGCTCTTAGTATTGTCTTTTTAATGTCCATAAAAAGTGAATTATTTGAAAACGTTGTCAGGTCGGGCGCGGAACACAACGCCCGCTTGTTAGAATGCGGTCGTACGTGGCGTGCTCTCGGTGTAGTGAGCGGTGGCGCGAGACATCCTACCCGCTCGTCGCTCGCTGCCAGACTGGCGACCTTCGAACGGTGGCCCGCTGACCGACATCAGGCCCCGCAAGCATTAGCCGAAGCTGGTTTTTTCTATACCGGCACTGATGACCAGGTAAGGACAGATTTTTATTCATTGCTGACTTCAATTAGTTCCAATTCGGATGCAGTCTTCGCCCTACCCGCTCATCGCTCGCAGCCAGACTGGCAACTTTCGAGCGGTGGCCAGCTGACCGCCATCAGGCGCCCTAAGAATTAGCCGAAGCGGGCTTCTTCTATACCGGCACTGACGTCCAGGTAAGGATAAATTTTTATTCAAAGCTGGATTGCACCAGTCACAATTGGATGCAGTTTTCGTTCTATCCGCTTGGCACTGACCGCCAGACTGGTGACCTTCGAGTGGTGGATGTTACTGAAAACACTTACGTGCTGCTCGTTAAAATTCATCTTCTTGTAACTGCCACTGTTGTTTTTCATTACAATGTTATTATTATCTGACTAGCCGTGTCCCGCGGTTTTACCCGCGGTTTATTAGGGATATTTTCCCGCAGTAAAACGTAGCCTATGTGTTAATCCAGGGTGTTAGCCATCTCCATACCAAATTTTATTAAAATCGCTCCAGCCGTTTAGACGTGAAGAAGTAACAAACATACACACACTCACAAACTTTCGCCTATATAATATAAGTGTGATGCTGATGATTATCCGACGCACCATAATCATATAACGACCATTGACGACCTCCGTGGCCGAGTGGTATGCACGCCGGGTTTCATGGTGTCGCCGACTCGGGAGGTCCCGGGTTCGGATCCCGGTGGGGGCAGATGTTTGTATGATGCACACGAGCATTTGTTAGTACAAACTGATTGTAGTCAGTCATGGATGTTTTCTATATAAATATACTTATGTATGTACGGTATATGTGTTCTATTCGTTTCCCTGGTATGCCATAACACAAGCCTTATAGTGCTTGCTTACTTTGGGGCTAGGCTAATTGGTGTGAGTATTAATTTTTTTTATTTATTATTATTATTGTTATTATTATATAAGATTCTACCCTAACCAAATATGTTACCGCAATTATGTTTTAGAAGTTTTAAGAATATTTGTTTCTTAGGTTTTCACGCACATCACTCATTGGATAAAACAAGTTTTAACGTGTTAATGCACGAACTTAATTTATTAATTGACGTTTCGCAGCCTTTTCAGATTTGCATCGTCAGAATACGAATGAAATACAAACAAAACAGATATTCTGACGATGCAGACCTGAAAAGGCTGAAACGTCAAAAAAATAAAGTTCGTGCATTAACCCGTTAAAACTAGTTTTATGTAAAGTTTTAAGAAGCTATGTATACCAAAAAGTTTCCTTGGCAAAAGATGCTACAAACTTGCATGTTCAACGTTCAGGTCCGTTGCTTCTACTGCGACGGCGGTCTTGGCAAGTGGGAAGCGGGCGATACGCCTTGGTCGGAGCACGCGCGTTGGTTCCCACACTGCGGATACGTGCTGCTCGTTAAAGGGCAAGAGTTCGTCGACACATGCAAGAATCATTCCTCGGTGCAGCGGACTGTGAGTAACATAGGCATTTTTTCTTATTAAAAAAACTGGCCAAGTGCGAGTCGGACTCGCGCACTGAGGGTTCCGTACAAACTCAATTTTATACCTCTACGCGTTCATGAGAAAAGTGGTAGCAACTTTAAAATTTTCAAAAATATTTTTTATTATATGATGTTACTGAAAATTTACGGCTTTTTCGGAATAGGGAAGATGCATGTATAATATTTATGAAAATTTTATGATTAAGAGCCCTTTCACATTTTTTGCAATAAATCGCAATTTTTGAGCGCCTCGTTTGCCCCCTTAGAAGAGGTTTTGACTACTTCCAATAGAAGTAAACAGTAGATTTATTCTTCCTATTGAAAATTAATGTAGAATATTTGCAAATACCATTTCATTTTTTTGTACTGATCGTTCTACCGCAGCTAGTTTACGGAAAAAACGATAATATGCACACCTTAAAACGCCTAAATCTCAAAATAATGTTCAATAAATTAGATCAAATTAATTACTACTACATCAGATATATGTTTTTGTTGCAACATAATGTATTAGAATCTTGATTTTCCATCTCAATAATTATTAAAAAACATCTAACCTCCATGAGTTTCCCCAAAAAATAACGCAGATTTACCTCGTATTTTGATATTGAATTAAATAGAATACTATAAAAAACATTCATAAAACTAATCTACAATCATTGAACTATTCAAATATGTATATATTTTTATAATAAGTTCATTAATTATTATTTTATAAGACTCTGAACATCACCCGTAAAATGCAATATATACTAGTGCAAATCTAGGCGCCGTTCAGTACGGCGCCAGCGCCTTTGGAGGTCGGACCTGTGTCGCTTTGTACCGCACGCGTCCCGAGCGATGCTACGAGTGCATTCATCGTAAAACTGGCTGGATATACTACGACCGCAAAACTTTAATCGTTGACTGTATGTAGGTTTCCACAACTGTATTAATTTTTATTATTATAAGTACCTCCCTAGTTATTAATTATCGTTGCTTCAACTAATATTTTTGTTATTAGCTTTTACAATGGGGCGTAAAATTTCTGCTTACCATTGTGTCAAAAAAAGAAAACGAAAGAATGATGCAGCCATAAAGAAAGCTTGTGAAGCAAGGTGAATATGCTTATAACATTTCTCTTTATTTTTAAAGCCTTTAAAATGCCAGTAAATGATAAAAAAACATGTTATGAAAGTTATTCATCATTAAATTTCCTACAACTTTTGCATAAATCTTTTTTTTACTAAATAAATACTTTTATAATGCTATTCAAATAAGAATAGTAAAGCCTATGATCTCCATCTGTCAAATGTCGCTTGAAAAGTACAGTTTGCAAAAAAAACTCGGAATACTTTTTTAGCACTCAGCTAATTCTAGAATAAAAATCAAACATTTTTAAACAAACAACAAATATTGATAGTTAATATTGGTTGATATTTTTTTTCATTTATTGAGCTTTGGCTATGAATGGTTGATAACCTAAATCGTCAACTAAATGTTACTTTATGTTCCGTTCAGAAACTCGATTTAATACTTTCGTTTACATATAGGATGCATGTTCGTATGTGACCTGCATGATTATTCATAACTACTCCGGTGGTAATGCAGAGATCAGCGGAATTGAAGAGCTAGATTCTAATTTATGTTTTTGCTCACACAGTCTTAATAAAGTATTATTAAAAATCAGTAGTTTTCTCTCAATCTTAGTAAATTAATTTTATTAAAAAAATCTGATGTTTTTTCTCACTTAATCTAAGTGAATAAGTTTGATTAAATAGAAACTTTTTTTTGTTCACTCTACCTATTTGGCTTGAATTGACAGCTATGACGTCAAAATATGGCGCCCAGTCGGTCTTATTCTTAGTTGAATCGAAAGTTATGAGTCGTTAACGTAGCAATAACGCAGTATATCAGAGTTTTGTATTATTAATATTATTTATAATATTTATATTTTTTTTCACTATTTTTTTTATTACATTTTTTTACAATTTATTGATAACAATCCAACACAAATCATCATCAGCTTCAATTTGTATGAAAGTAAGTGAATTTTTCGGATACTTCTGTAATTTCATTTCAATGCCCGTTTTTGCGCACATTAACGACTATTAACTTCAAAAGTATTTATTTAATAAAAAAAATATACAAAACTTGTAGGGAATTCAATCACGAATAACTTGTATATGACGTTTTTTTATCAATTAATGACATTTTTAAGGTTTTATAAAGGAAAAAATACAAAAATGTTCAAATAAACAGCAACAATTGAAAAACGGTAAGAGTTACAATAAAAAGTTTGAGAGAAAGAAGTTAGAGAATTTAGTAATAAACAAAAAAACACTACATTTTTTCCGTACAGTCAATAATTTAGGAGATATAGCTATAAACGCGTTTTCCAATAAAGTGGCCAGTTGTGACCACCCTACATTCCCCGATTTAAACTTAAGCTTCTTACAATCTACACTTATGTCTGTAAAAAAAAGCTAGAGTACGGTAAAATGTTGCATTTCGATCAAGTATAACAAGTATAAGCTCGTGGGCGGCCAAAGTACATATTTGCCCAACATAATAATATATTTAGAATAGAAATTCACAGTTCTATTTATTTTATATGGAAACAAAATTTTAATGGCAACCCCGAAAATACTGAAACTATACCGACCATAAGTTCAATGAATTCGATTGCAACGGAAACTGTAAGTTTTTCATATTGTTATTGGAAGTAGACAATGAAAAAAGAAATTAAATTTATAACAATAAATTTATAATTATTTAAATTTATAATAATAAATTAATTTATATAGCAAAAAATGCTGTTGGATTGGAAATCGAAGCCGAGGCACAAAGGGAAGCGTCAAACTCAAACTCAAAAATCAAAGACAAACAGAAGTTATGCAAAGCATACATATAAAGTTACAATAATTAGTAATAATCATAATTAATCTTTATTGTCATTTCCAAAACACAACCAATGGGTACTATAAATATATTATTTATTTTCTCACAATAGTAAAATAACTTAATCCTTGTATCCTTTGCTCCACTCAGGATTCCTATCTAGAATCGTTCGTTGCTACAGTAGGGATCCATCTTAGCACTTCTAATTAACTTTATTTTATAATGGCATTTATTGTATAATCAATAATTGCATAATAAAGTATCAATTTGGTAAAGCGCGCTATACTGAACATCGCCGCGTCGATGTCTCGCTCGTGCGACTCGGACACGCTCGCGGCCTTATTTACCTAAACAAGAGTGGCGCAATTTTGTAAAAGGGCTCTTAAAATGTTAAAAAAATATAAAAGAAATGCCACTGCAACGTTTTTATTTTACATAATGTTGTTTTTTAAAAATTATTACGAATTAAAAATACTTGAAACAGAACGTATTTTAAAACACCAATCAGCGTTTAGTGACGTCACTCCTGTTATGACAACTTCTTTGAGGTTATGGTTGTTAAAGTAAGTATTATTTTATGGGAATATTAATTGCGTTTTTTTACATTTAATAAAAATGGAAGTTGCGTTTATTAAAGCAGACTCCAGGAATTTACCAAGAGTTAGTGTTGACATGGTTATAACTTTTTTTGTCCAAAGTGCAGAGTTTTTAAGTGTAGAAATGAAAGGGACTAAATTACTACGGTATGTAAAAATCGTAGTTGGTAAACTTCGTATTTTATTCAGCTGCTTCTACAAATCTTACGGCGATAATGCAATCGGCTATGTCCAAATTAAAAGAGATGGAGAATTATGTACAGTAAAAGGTCGAGTTTTCCGGAGCATGAAGTACGTAAAGAAGGTTATCGTGTTACAGTTATTTTAAATGAAACGCAAAGCTTGGTTCAGTCCTGCCAATGTGAAGATTGTGCCACACATTTTAAAGTTTATCTAATTTTCGACGTCATTCTCCAACTGTAAAATTAAAAATATGTTATAGACAGGTTTTGTAAGTATTAGGTAGGTTACTAATGCGTTTTTACGTACAAGCAGATTAATTAAGCATATATAACAAGTATATTCGCCGACTTACGTCAAAGTGATCTTCACAGCATCGAATAATGGTCTTTGGAGAATAATTGTCATTTCTCTTCGCAGCTTTTTTTTCAGTTTTGGGTCAGAAGTTCCAGTCAAAAACAATTGTTTGGAAACTTTGTTCAAGTAGATTGGCACAAAACATGAGTCAACACGGCTTTTTTTCGGAATATTAGTGGTATTGTTATGATCACATGATGTTGATGGATAGTCCATTTTAATTTTTTCAAAAAAAAAATGTTTAAAGTCGAAAAAATATGCAAAAGTATGAAAATTTAAAGCCAGCGACGAACAAGTACGACCAGTGACAGACAGGAGTGACGTCATCGCAACCATAGGTTCGTTTTCGCGCGAAAATTTTAATTGTCAATTTAAAACCGCATTTTTTCCGATAAATCACAATGTTTTAATTTTTTAATATGTCTGTGGTTTATTCTACATGGAATTCTTTAAAATGAAAACAAAAATAAAAATATTGCATCTTCCCTATTTAAATTTCAAAAATTGCGAGTTTCAAAAATTTGCGGAAATTCGCGGCATAAACGGTTGCATCTTTTGATTGCTTTGGCTTAGAAGTTTGATTTTTTCACAGCTCCAAGGGACAGGAGACATGAGTATTAGATATGAATTTAAGTTTGATACTCCATGCGTTCCCGAGAAAACGGTTTTGACAGACGGATGGACAATAAAGTGATCCTGTAAGGGTTCCGTTTTTTTCCTTTTGAGGTACGGAACCCTAAAAACGACTAAAGAAAATGTTATCTAGCGGTTTAATACTTAAAAGTTTTAACTATAATAAGTACTCTAATATATTGTTATTACATGATTAAACCTACTACAGTGCTGACAACATAAGAATACGACCCGGACAGATCGTGTCAGTTCCTTATGACGAAAAATTTAATTACACTTTGGATTTAGTGAAAAAAGAATTTCAAAAATAAACTGTAATTCTGTCGTTATAAGAAACTGACAGGACCTGCCAGAATCGACGGGGTTCGATTTGGTTCATATCAAATGTTGTATATATCCTCTGTCTAGCAAACAAAGGTGACAGTATAATTTTTAAGAGCAGGTTTCACTTATTAAAGGTTTTATTTATAGTAATGGAGTGTGACCCAAACATTAGAAGAATCGTCACGCCATGTAACGCAGCCGTAATCATTTTTGGCCATAACGTTTGATTCGGGAGGATAAACAACTGAAAAATACAGGTTTTTACAGTTATGTGGCCAGATAGGATAGGCTAGATAACGCAATCCAAAACAAAATTATAGATCCGGTACTTCTAAAGGCATTTTAAAGCCTTCATGTGTGTGCACTGTTCAAAGTCATATATGGCGATTATCATTAATCTAATTGAAATCGGCGCATATGTCTTAATCCTGAAAGAATTGCTTTACCCTAACAATTAACATTTTTCTATCTTTCCAGTTTTCAGCAGACACTGGATTATGTTCTAGACGAAGAAATCCTGGTGTCAATTTCCCTATAACAGAGAGCCAGGTAAATTTATGAGAAATTGTATTCATAAATCTGAATAGGTTGTAAAATACGAATTTCTAAAAAGTTTTCAATAATAAACTAAAAAATTTTTTAACATATTCAGAAGCCATACATGGATATGGCTTCTGAATCTGTTAAATATTTTTTATAAGATAACAGTCACTAAATCCCGAGAATAGCACTACTTACGCCCATCACTAATAATAATATAATGAGATCAATATGTGTTAGGTGGAAGAATGTATGGAGAGCGGGGCAGCTTTAGCGGCGCTCGGCGCTGGCTTAGACGCGGCGCGGGTACGAAGAGCATTGGCCCGAAGATTACGCAGTACTGGTTAGATAAATTGTTCTAACTTTCTCTAACACGTCGTTCTGACTTCGTCTGCGTGGATAAATTGGTTTCCCATACAAATTTTCACTCTCCTATTCACCCCTTTAAAGAATGATATTTAGGATAAAGTATCCTACACACATCAAAAAAATCTTAAATTAAACGTAAAATAATAAAATAATTCAATTTTTTTCCATATAAAAAGACATGCAATCCAAGCTGACACTGATTCCGAAATCTGACATAGTCCATTTTATCCAATTTTAAATATTTTTTCACGGAAAGTTGTGATTTAAAAAATGTACGTTGCAAAGGTATCATGGCATGGGTAATTTAGCTGATCGACCCCGCAGCGGTCGCCCAACTGTTTTGACAGCTGTTCAGAAGCTCTACATCAGGTTGCTGGTAGCCCGCGACCCAACAATAAACGCCACTAAATGAAAAGCAGAAATGCGGGCCGCCTCCGGACTTGAAGTTAGCACTCAGACTATTCGGAATTGCTTACACAAGGCTGGATTACGAGCACGGTGGTATTGGCTAACACCTTTGAATTAACGGGAACGTCAGCGACGGAGATTACAGTGGGCTAGGCTCCGGCAAAAGGAAGAAGACGAAGAGGAAAACATTTGGCAAAACTGCCTCTTGGTTGACGAATCGCGAATCAGTACTCATTCAGATAACCGACGTGTCCGTGTTTGGAGAAGACCTGGAGACTCTGAAAGGCAAGGAACGGCCACTGGAACGGTTCAGCAAGGCGGGAAATTAGTGTCCTTTTGGGGTGGTATTATGATTGGGGCTAGAACGCCTTTAATCCCTTATCAAGGCTTCATTTTTTTTTATGTTATAGGGGGCATACGAGCAGACGGCTCACCTGATGGTAAGTGATCACCGTCGCCCATGGACACTTGCAACAAACACCAGGAGTATCACAAATGCGATGCCGGCCTTTAAGGAAGGAGTACGTTCTTTTTTTGAAGGTTTTTGGGTCGTATCGGTCCGGAAACACTGCTGGCGACAATATATTCCACAGTTTTGTCTTACGTGGTAAAAAATTTCGACAAAAACGCACGGTTGTGGATAGCCACGCATCAAGATGATGGGGATGAAATTTTTTTCGTGATGTACGATGGCGAAATGCAGCAGCTGGAATTAATCCGAACAATTCCTCAGAACACTCCCCGTGATAAATGCGATAGAAGATGCAGAGCGAAGCTACATCCCTACGCAAAGACAAAGGATCAAGCTGATCGGAAAGGTCCTGGTCGTCGACGATTCGAGCCGCTCGGCGCTGGATGCGATCCAAAGGGAGAAGCTGGTACTGGGGTGCCCCCGCCCAAAGATGAGAGCAGTACTCCATGTGAGGCCGAACCAGTGCCTTATAAAGCTGTTGTCGGTGGGCCGGTGTGAAGTACATTCTCGATCTATTGAGCACATCAAGCTTCTTAGAGGCCAATTTGGCCTTGCCCTCTAAATGATCCCGAAACTGGACGTCGCTCGATATGTCAACGCCAAGAATTCCAATACTAGCTGAGGCAGTTAGAGGAGTGTTCTCAATAAGAGGAGATACGACAAATGGTATTTTTTTTTGCGATGAACGCGCATACTTGTGTCTTCGTAGGGTTAAATTGGACTAGATTAAGTCGGCCCCAATTCGTTACTCGGTTTAACAAAGTTTCGACTTCAGACACAAGTTTGTTCCGGCACTCGATGACGTTTTCCCGTGAAATGTTGGCGCGGCCGGTATATAGGGCATCACCCGTGCTGTCATCTGCATAACAATGAATGCCATCAATTTGAAGCATATCATTGATATAAAGAAGAAACAGCGTAGGCGATAGCACACAGCCTTGTGGAACACCAGCGTTTACGGATTTGGAGTCCGAGCATGCACCGTCGACTGCGACCTTGATGCTCCTGTCCGCAAGAAAGCTAGTGATCCAACCGCACAGCTTTTCAGGAAGCCCATTAGAAGGAAGCTTCGAAAGAAGCGCTTTGTGCCAAACCCGATCGAAGGCCTTCGCGATATCCAGACCGACCGCCAATGCTTCCCCCTTGGTCTCGATCGCCTTCCCCCTTGGTCTCGATCGCCTGAAGAACAACATCGGCGACAGAATCGGCAGCGACGTTGGGATTATTTTGCGAGAAGCAAACCTGGCCCCAAGGGTAGGATGAAAAGAAAGTGCGCATCCTATCCCAGTCTGCTGACTTATAGTGCCACACACGACGACAGCCAGCAAATTGCGGCCGCGGTGAGTAAGTGAGTGGTACCATACTCCGGATTAGACAATGGTCCGAGGAGCCAAGAGGGGTATCTATGGACACTTTGTAATTATCCGGATGTGAAGTCAGCAGAAGGTCCAACAGTGAAGGTGTATGGTCTTCGACATCTGGGATTCGCGTAGGCGAGATGACCAGTTGTGTCAGACCATAGGCCAAGGCGAAGTCTTGAGCAGATCTGCCTGCATGATCGGTAGTGGGCGATCCAAGCCATTCGGAGTGGTGGGCATTGAAATCGCCAAGGATCACAATTTCAGATGATGGGATCTGCCGAAGCACGGAGTCTGTAGCCACCTGGACGTGATCATAAAGTCGGTCAGTTTCGGCATTTCCGCTATGGGACCTGTAGAGGCAGGCGTAGACGCGGGGATGGTCATCGACGTCTACTCGCAACCATAAGATGGAGAGGTCCCTACCTTCAAAGTTGCTGAGGCGACGGAAACTGATACCCTCTTTAACGTACACACATACCGCAGCCCGTGGTACAAAGGAATGTTCCAAAGTATACCCAGGGTACTGGAGGTAGGAGGTGTCGGCTGGAGAGGATATCTGCGTCTCAGTCAAAAAAAGCAAGGCTGGCTGCACTGTCTGAAGGTGGTAGTGAACAGCATTAAGGTTGGAGTGTAAGCCCCTGATGTTGCAGAAATCCACGTTAAACATGGCAGGGGGTGACGTATGACGCTTGCTCTGGCCTCGAGTAGTTTCAGTAATGAGCGCAGTTTCGCCCTCCCCAGAATACGAAGGGCAGCCTCGACGTCCACGTCCAGAAGGAGACTGGGCATGGACGTCCAGAGGGGGATTCTCCAGCGTGAAAACAGCTGGTACCCCCCTGGGGTATTATCCTATTTAACTGCGCCATCATGAGGAAAAGGGGGGGGGGGGGGGGTTGGGCCTCCGGTAGCCTCACACACTCGGCGAAACACAGTACAAAGTACTGCTTGACGCCGGTATTCTGTGAGGTCGTGGTATTCCTCCGGTCGAGCCGGCCCATTCATGCAGTAGCCTAAGCTACTGCGTGGCTCTTCCACGACGGCTTCATGAAGGCAGACAGATACAAAACAGTCGCTATTGATGGAATCGTCAGACCTTTCCGAGTAAACCATGGGCAACAATTTATACTGGTTGACGATAATGCGGCCGCACATCGAGCTCAACGAGTCAATGCTGCTCTCCGAGAATACGAAATCACAGGTTAGACTGGCCTGCCGGCTCTCCTGACTTAAACCCAACAGAGCACGCGTGGGATGCTCTTAAGCGAGCTGTTTGGAACCGTCAGCCACCACCCCAGACAGTGCCGCAGCTCAGGCTTGTTGCTCTGCTGCTGTTCAAGAATGGGACAGGTTACCACAAGGAATGCTGGATAACTTGGTCCTCAGAATGCCCAGGAGGATCTCCGCATGTGTTCGAGCCAGAGGAGTTATTTTGTATAAGATAAACAACAATTTATTGATAAAAGGTTTGGTTAAACTACCTTTTTATTACTATCAAAATTTTATTACAATCGCCTTAGGATTGAATTATTAAATTTTTTATACATAAAAAATAATATTAGTTTAATTTTTTATATCAGAAAGTGCATTGTTAAATAAAAAAAGATATAACGTAAAAATTTGCACTTAATTAAGTTAAAATTTGAAAATGTATCAGCTTTTGCAGGTGATCTCAAACTTTTTTTGATGTGTGTATGTCCTTTCCTATAGATTATTAAACTAAATTTGACAGCAGTAACTCCTTTAAATTCACTTTTTTGCATGATAACCGAATGTTGCTTAACTGCCACGTTAGCATACTGCGCCATCGAACTCCTCAGAACTTTAACAATCATTGTTATACCTAACACAGAAAACAATATTAAAAATAACAATAGCTTAACTCTTTGAAGAATAAGCATTGTACTATTATAATGATAATGCCAAAATTAGGTCCAATATCTTCTTAAATTTGCATTCAACGCCTAACTTTTTTGTGTAAAGGCTGTAAATATATGTATATTTGTTATTGCAATAGCTTTTTTCCATTTTTAGACTTATTATTATTAGCATTCTGTTTTCCATAGGTCTTCCGTTCAGTTCGTCGGAAGCGCTTATAGACGCCGTTCTAGACGAGCAACTGAACGAAGAGGCGTGGAGCGTATCGCCGCACAGCCAACGCTTGGCGCGCGACATTCTAGCGGAGACTTTGAGGGAATTCGCACCGGGTGCTGGGTATGTAGTTACTAGTGTAATATATTTCCAAGTTCAGTTCGTCGGAAGCCCTTATACACGCTGTTTTAGCCAACGCTTGGCGCACGACGTTCTAGCGGAGAATTTTAAGTAATTCGCACCCAACGCTGAGTATGTAGTTATTAATCCAATGGCGACCAAAAACTTTTATATCGAGATCGTCCGTGCTTCGGAAGGCATCTGAGGTCGTTAGCACCCATAAATCCGCATTGGGCCCGCGTGATCATGGCCTAATCTCCCTATTCCATCCATAGCGAAGGCCTTTGTCCCCACCGACATTAATAAAGTGATAACGAGATGTTACTTTTTAATACTATCAGAAAGTACAGTGGACAAGTTAAATAGTAAGTTGATTGATCGGGACTTTTCCATACGCTTTTCTGGTATGTAAAATTGGCGTGTTAGCACTTTTTACTACTGACTTGCATATAAACAGGCATAGCAACATATTCGCTCAAAAATTTGCTTTTATAATGTCGGTTTGCAGACCAATATTAAACCTTAGGTGGATCCCAAAGTAAAGAACCTGGATGTACATCCTGTATTTGGTTTAAGCGGACTACTGACATTCCTGCCCCTGCGGTAGCTAATCTAGAGCGCACTGCGGTCGGGACAATATCGGCTTGTCTCTACACACATTCCTGCTATTCATCGTTAGGCTATAAGTTGAGCTAAACAAAGTAAATATTAAGATAGTTTACAGTTAAGCGGGCTACTGATATATCCTGCACACAACACAATTAAAGAGGCAATTAAGGGTCATCCCCACTCTTACACCCTAAATTGCCCCTGCGACAGGGATGTCAGTAGCCCGCTTAACTGTAAACTATCCTAATGTTCACAAAATATATAAATAAAATAATTAAGGTAACAAAGAGTTCTATTATATATATACTTCCATAAATCCTTGAAAACTCTTAATCTTAAACTTTAGAGGCTTATATTCTGCCAAAAAATATATGGAAATTGCTGTATGCACCTTAAAAAATAATTCACATAGACTTGTAATACCCATTTGTTTTTCTTTTTATACACAAATATTACATTTGTGATATTGTTATTGGTGTGTCTAATAAAATAAATAAATAAATAAAAGAACTATTGCAGGCCAGACATCTAAATTTAGTAAGTTGATGTTGCTTTGGCTTATAACAATAAAAACCGACTTCATTGAAACAAAATGATGATATAGCACACTGTAGTGCTTCCAACCTGATTTGATCACTCATTATATTTCACAACAATATAATTGTAGGCACTCAAGGTCTAAAAACTATGTATTTCTTTAAGATGATTGTAAACATTGATGTAAATGACTGTATGTTGCCAAAACAAATAAATAAAAAAACCCTTAAAAATTAAGAAATAATACATTTGTTTTTATTATCTCCAACAGAGTGATACCATCGCAATGGGACGACAGACCGGAAAGTCAGAGATCACAATCGGCATCACCGCCCCGATCACCAACTCCTACTCTCCCCCAAGTCTCCACCCCTCTTAATCTTCAAGTAAATAATACACCCAAAGCAGAAACAGATAAAACGAACAGTACAGCGAATGGTTTTGAAGAAACCAAGAGCGAAGGCAGCCCCGTCAAAGAGAAAAAACCGATGTCTTTGGAAGAGGAGAACCGCCAGTTGAAAGAGGCCAGACTGTGTAAAGTCTGTATGGACAGCGAGGTAAATACCCGTTTTGTTATCTTGATACAGTTTTGCTTGTTTTAACAATCAATAGAAGTATAGCGAAGGGTGCGGGTTCGAGTCCCGACTGCTGCCTAGTCCGCGTGGATTTTTTTAGTAAAAAAAATCTTTAGATATAAACATCTAGCAGTTAAATGCTTAAAAAATAAAAAATATAATCAATACAAGTACTAACTCCTGATTGTTCTCAGGTAGCAAAATTTGCTGTGAAAGATTCTGTTATCTCTTATATCTTTATTCAAACGATTACAACTACATTTTCATATCTAAAGAAATGTTTCGAAAGGAAATCCGAATCAGAGGGCTGTCTATGAAAAATCAAACGCGATATCTCATATGAATGCTTTAAGTTTCGACTTTGTATCGGGGCACATTAAGGTCTAAAAATAAAGATTTGAATTCCCGATAATCGTTTTTAAACGTAGTAAGCCCTCTGTGAAATTTATTTCTATGTTTCTCAGTTCACGGATACGAGATAGTTAGAGCTTTCTTTATAGCATAACCGTTTATAAAAGACAAATGTGACGTGACCTACACGATAAAGAGGTATATTATTGGCCGGAGTAATTATAACAATACAACCTGGGCAATGACAGAAAAACTTAGCTGTCGCTAGTTTTAGGTGGTTATTTACGACCCATCCATCCATTCTATATGTGGTAGCTTGTCAATAGCTTTTAGTAATATTTTTTGCTGTTATCTTTATTTTCATAAGCTGTTAGCTGCCCTAAGATAATAAATAAATAAATAAATATATGACATCACACGTTAAGGAGATGGAGGACGAAGTTTGACATTGTATGATAAAGGGTGGGAGAAGTCATAAGCATTTCACAATCAATAGGTTTAATCATTCCTAGGTCGAAATAGCAAAATAATATGTGACGTCACAACTGTTGGGGCGTGTAATAGTTCCTTGATTAAAATATAATAGTAATCTTTTATTCCTCTCCATATTCCTATGAGACAATAGAAATAAAGCGTTATAATGCAGGTTGATACAAAAGACTAATTCAGATTTATACCTAAACTAGGAAAAATCCTGCATTTCAGCTTATTAACCTTTTAGCTCATTATTTATCTATACTATTGTAAAGAGGAAGTATTTGATTGTTTTTATTGAATAGGCTCCGAAACTACTGGACCGATTTAAAAAAAACTTTCTTAATTGGAATCCAACGTTATCCCTGATGAACATAAGGTACAGAGAATTTTCAAAAAACTAAGGTTCCGTAGGAAAATTTCGATAATGTAACCCAGGGTGTGAAAAAAATACCAAAAAATAACGTTATATCGCTTGCGCTGCGGAAGTCTTTGAAAATAGAGCAAAGTGATGTACTAAAGTTTTATAGGGGACATAAATATATACAAAAAAGTCCGCGATATCATGTCTTATTATTACAATTATGTCATAAGTCACAACTAAAGCTCCCCTACGGTTTCACCCGCGTTAATTTGAGGTTAAAATAATCTGTCGTAGACTTCTTTAAAGAACTTTTAAAGGCGAATAATTACGTCATACTTGATTTTTGTGTAACTTTAATCATTTACGCAGCACACGCAACGGAATCTCTCAAATGGAATATTTTTACCCGTTTTTGCAACATTTAACATCGATACTCCTCTCCTACTGGTTGCAGCGTAATATTATATAGCCTTAAGCCTTCCTCAATAAATGCACTATTTAACACATTTTTTTAAATCGGACCCTTAGTTTATGAGATTTGCGCGTTCAACCAAAAAAAATGGTGCATTCGGTACAATTAAACGGGTCTTAAACTACGCAACAAAATTTTCACTATCAGTGAAATAAATTTGCATGGACGGTTTATAAGTATATAAAGTATTCATTGTGTATAATACAACAACCGAGAACAAAAACTAAGGTCTACACTAAAGCTCTACACCGAAGCAAAGCGAGGGCGGCCCACTAGTCTACAATTTTATTTTTTATATATATAGATAGATTTAGTGTTTATAAGCTTACATTTACTGAATTTTGTGGGAATAAATTAGGAAAACAAATCCGAGTTTTTGTGTTTATACATTTCTTAATGGTCTTACCATTAGGTGAGCGTGGTATTCCTGCCTTGCGGTCATTTAGTGTCTTGTGCCCGGTGTGGGGCCGCGATATCTGCATGCCCTTTATGCCGATGCGGGGTCAAAGCATTGGTCCGCGCTTACCTCGCCTGACCACACTCACAGGTATGTATCATCCTTATATCATCATCATCATCAGCCTTTTAAGATCCTTACTTCTGGGGCCTTGGGGCCGTTCAAGTATTACGTAAGCAGATTTATTACAGTTATTTACCCCCTCTTCCCCGTTGTCAGCAAAAGTAACGAACGAATTTCAAACGAAATTTCGCCAGTGACTCTACTCTATTTTATTTTCGAACACGCTCATAAAGTTCGGAATCACAAACAATTTTCGTAAACGAACGGAATAAGTCATGTTTGTGAGTTCTTTTTATGTTTACTTTTTAAATAACGTTTTTTACTTGGAAACAATATTACTTTATGACAACATTTTTGATGACATTGAAAGAACCTTTTTTTGACAGTGTTAGCCGACTAATTTGTAGAATTCATACAATCGATTGTATGTCAACCTAAATTGGTCGTTTAATATTTTGAAGTATTGGAAATACAATAAATAATAAAAAAAATCGTTTCTTTGTTAATTTTACATGCTATAAAATGTTCCTCGAGCTAAGCAGCCTGGATGAAAAATACTCTATCAAGCATTTTAGACTTAATTCAAATAAAAACCCCAAAACGAAAAAGAAAAGGTAACACTTTTCACTTCGTCAAATTGAGGTTAAAATTGTGAACAATTATCTGTCAAAATCAACTTTTCGTGCGAAAGTATTGTGAATTAGAGTAGGCTTGGAGAATTTAACTGTCATTTTTTTAACGAATTTTCGAAATGAAAAAGAAATAGAGTAAGAAACGTGCGAAATTTCGTTTTTCGTTGAAATAGAGTAAGCCGCCAGGCTTAGTCCGCGACTTGTCTGTTTTGATTAGCATTGAAAAGTTTTTATTTAATTGAAATTGTTGTTTTTTTAAATATTACATATATCCAACACTCACACCAATTAACTTAGCCCCAAAGTAAGCACTATAAGGCTTTTGTTATGGGATACTTTGGTAACGGATAGAATACATATACTGTACATATATAAGTATATTTTTATAGAAATACGTATTAAACATCCATGACTGGAGTACAAATGCTCGTATTCATCACACAAACATTTGCCCCCACGGGGATTTGAACCCGGAGACCTCTCGAGTCGGCGACACCATGAAACCTTATAAAAAAATAATACTTTCAAATAAAAAAAAATCAAAATAAAAATAAATCAATTTTTGTATTTTCAGGACACTGTCGGCTATCTGCGTAAGTTAAGAGTTGACCAAGACGTGTTACCAAGGAATGTTGGATGATTCAAGTGCATTAGTTGGTGTTCTGTTTGTCATAGTGATCTGATTATTGTTAGCGGAGAGATAGTTATTCTAGTGTTCGTATTACGCGGTATTCATAGGCCTACATAAGATGTAAGCTTGTAGTGTGTATCAGTGAAGTTGCAATGTCATTGCCAGTGTTAAAAATGTTGGTATTAAGTAGTCTGTATTATAGCTAGGTATTTGGCGTTTGTTTTATAAGTTCAGTTTGGTAACTAATTTAATTAGAAACGGTGGAATACTTGCACTGGAATGAGATATTATGATATATAATAGCAATGTAATAGGAAAGCATTTTTAATTTGGTCAACTTATCATGTCCTACACCGGTTTTTGTTACAACGGATTTTGAACCTTTGTTCTTTGATATAAAGCTTAAAATTGATTGAGATAATTTGTCACTGTAATATTAATATGGTGCAAGATTCTAAATACGATATTTCAATAAAAAAGTAATATGTATCGTGATAAGTATAGTAAACAATTGTCTATTGGCAGTTTTGGAAATGGAGCGTGAATAAATTTTATCATACTATAAATAGCTTTCGTGATATATTTTATTTTAAAGATTAAAGAATCAAGCCTTATATTTACTTACTAAAAGTCTTAAAAATTTAATGTAATTCGTAGGGCCACATCACATATATTGGTAATATAAATTTAAATATTATGTATCGGATAAATTGATTCTAAAAATGCTAGTATGATAATTATGTTGCTATATAAAGCAAATTAAAAGTATTACTATTGTAATGTAAATGTTTGTATTATAGTTTGATAATAGTATGATGCTTTTTAGTCAAAGTCTAGTTATCATAGTGTAAAATAAATTCTGTATCTCATCTTGATTTATCAATATCATTATAAATAAGTCTACAATTGAAAAATATTTGCAGTAAGTATCGGCAAAAAGCCGATAATTGCTTTTGGAAAATTTAAAAACAAACGGGAAGATTGTCGACTATTAATTTAATTACAAGCGACTTACGACTAAAAGTCTAAGAACTCCCGAAGTACATACACGGTACAAATTATCTCGAAATTTGTTTTCTAAAATCAATATTTTTATTATTTGTTATAATAATATAATGATTGATATCGGTAGCTTTTGTTTGTAATAAATTTTGCTGGGTACATCCATCACTATGGTAAATAAAATTACAAAATGACAAAGTTTTACGTTTACGGCTTTCTTTTTTCTTTAAATTTAAAGCAAGCTTTTGAATAATGGAAGCTCATTATTGACTCATACCTTAAAAGGAAAATTTGTTCGGAACTTTAAAAAATATATCCAATTGATGGTTTTGGGGAAACAGTGGATTTATAGAAAGTTACAGTTTAATAAATAATTAATGACTTTTGGGCAATTTTAATGACACGACTGCTCTAATTTATTTTCTTTATTCATCAATCATAACCAGAGCAAATGAAATTATATTGACTAATATGGGGAATTACATTAGATTTTGTGGTAATTAATGTGGTAACAATAGGTTAGTATTAGTCATGAGTAATCAGCATCACAATGAAATATTTGTAGCCTTTATTCATCATTGTTATACTGGTAAGCGTTTAATTTGAACAAACGATCCAATTGATATAAGATTTTAAAGTTTTAGTTATTTAAGACTACGTAAACATGACCCCAAAAATATTTCTTTTAATAAACGGTTTCATGTTTAATATCACGTAATATCAGGCTAAGTAGTTAGGTATAGTTTATAATATCCTGCGTTGTATAATTTCAGAGACTAACTTGAGATCTTTTCTGATGCAGATTTTTTAATAAGGAAGGAAATTTATTATAACAAAGAGCTTCCAATTGATGTCTCAGTGTTATTGCCTTTGAGGACTTTTGGATAAGTTTTAATAAAAATAAACATGTATAATATAACACTCTTTGAAGGGCCTAAGCGCGATATATTTAAGTTTCTTTGAAAACCAAGCAGCGACGTACTGGACACAAGAACAAACTGGCTTCTCTTAAACAAAATATGACGACGACGCGACGCGATTACGGATCTATCAAAGTTCGCGCTAGAGACCGTTTTAGACCCGTTCAAAAAGTGTTGTATTAAATGATTAATGTGCGTGAAAACATTAAAATTTAATATTAATCTGTATGTTTACCCACTTTATACCGTCGTTTTAAAACAACTCACAGAGAAAAATATTACAAAAGATGCAGGCACGTAATTTTTTTTTTCATGTTGTTCGATAATTGACTGATACTAATGATTTCATTTCATTTCAATAAAGTGCTTTATCGACTTAGTTTATGTGTCAAATATAATATAAAAATAATAATTTTTCATGTTATTACGTAAAAACAATATCACAATCAGACATGACTTAAGGGGTTAAGGGCTGTGAAAAATTAAGTATGGCTTGGTTGAGATTCAGAAAATTATGTGATATATTTGAAATCTCCATTCTTTCTCTATCAATGCATTAGATAATACAATAAACTCTGTATATATCTATGTTTAAACGTTAACGTTTACTAAATAATAAACAAAATTTAATTAATAGCTTAAAGGGATGTCTGATTTTAAGTTAACATTTAAATTTATTTTTGCAATAAAATCTATACAAATAAAATGTGGTTTCCCGGCAATATTATTTAAGAAACATGTGTCGTATTGTATTCGCAAAAGCACTTATTATTTACTAAACGTTAATGAAATCTTATCTACTTATTTTAAGAACAGTTATACTAATTGTTTTAGTGAAAAACTAAGGTGTTTCATTTCTATTGTTATTTTGTTATACGAGTGCTTAAATAAATTATATTAATTTAATTCAACTCTTCCAGTTAAATTTGATTCACACTCGAAATGATTGTTTTTAGTAAGATCGATTTTTAACCCCTAAAGTTTAAGAGTGACTGAAAAAAATTAAAGATTTAAGATGAAGAGCTTTATTAATCATCATCATGTGTATAGTTATGTGTGTATGTATATATATTTAAATTAATTGTAGTATGTATGTATGTGTATTCCTTTCGTAGTATGTTTTATATATGTATCTATGTTAATTCGTTTATATTTTTATTATTATTTATTATATCAATATTTATGTGTATATTTAGCTTTATACCGCCGTTCGAGGTTTCTTTTTTCCCAAAGGTTGACTGGGAGAGAATGCTATTAGCATTAAGTCCGCTTTTTGTACCATTCTCTTGTATTTTGGTCAATAAAGCTTAAATAAATAATCCAAATTCCGTGCGATAGTTCTTATAAAATAAATACGTGATTTTAGCGGTTTTTGCCCTGTGACCTGCGAACCGACCCGCTGCGGCCCGACATAATGTGCGCGAATCTTAATTGTCTAATCCTTTCATTGTACACTTTTTATTTGATATTTTTAACTTCAATTGTGAAGATTCTAAATACAATGTTTCAATAATAAATAAAAAGGTTTTGTGATAGTATCTAAATTATACCAGTTTTGGAAACGGAGCGTGAATCAATTTAATTATAACGACTATATAATAGTTTTCATTATATTTTTTTTAGTAAGAGTGAAAAATTGCATGTTTGAAAATATTAAGGAATCGAGCCTTATAATTGCTACCTCCAAAGAACCATGTCAAAGCTACGTATACATATAGACAAAGTCAAATTTACATTGACTGCGCGTTTTATCGATGCCAATATGAACTGACGTGGCCTACACTGTACGTTCACGTAAATGTGTTATCGTGTAATTGTAATGGTGCAATTATGGGTCCTATAGAAGCTACTTCTTATCGATTTAAGTAGTTGTTAATTTATAGTTTATGCTATGACGAAGATTTCGATAAAAACGGAATAATAAATTGCATTATACAGTATCGTTTTTATTTGTCACCAATTTTTATATCCCAGCTCAGCATAACTATTATGGCAAATAACCAAGTCGATTATCCATTCGTAATCCGCAATTAAAGTCAAGTCATATAGTATCACATAAATTGATCTACGACTTCACATGAGTGCAATAGAACATTGCCGTAATTGAAAATGTTGTAAAGCATTTTTGATATATAGGTACCATAATTATAAAGATGATGTCATTTGAAATCTTCCTGTTATTTGCTATTCTATTATAAGCCTATGCTTGAATCAGCGTCATGGCATAGATTGAAATCGTCAAGGATGGAACTCATCACTCACTCATCCGTAAAAACCCAGTCTTGAATAAAGTTATTGTTAATGCAACTTATAAATCGATTAATTTTTAGATAATTCTAAGATTTTACATTAGATTCAAAAAGGTAGGATCCAAAGAGTATTCCGACAGTAGAAAGGCAAAATCGCTTTATTTAAAAAGATGGAATTAGTTTTTTTTACGTAGATTTGTTTGTTTCATTAAAACTTTAGCACTTTTTTGGCGCTTATTTAAGCTTAAGCTTTAATATTTTTAAAAAAATCATTACATTCATATTATTGATTGTTATCCAACGTCGCGTCAGTCGCTTACCTTATTATTTGAGGTATGATAAAAATATGTTTTTTGCTTCACTAGAAATGTATAACGGCTCGAGTGATTTTCGCTTAAGCGACATCCATCTTTCTGATCTCTTCTCATTTACAACGTGTGTTTTTTTGTAAAAAAATATTGTAATTTTTGTGTAGTTTCTAAAGTAAAGCAATTTCGCTTATCTACTGTCAATTTGTTTTATTTCAAAATTGATTTTTATTTGATTTCAGTCCTGCTTTATATTTATTGGTATAATACAATAGTGGTCGTGTTATTTTTAACTTTTATTGCATGCTTCGAACCAAAAAGATCTTTTAATCGTAAAACGATTGAAATGTGTTATTTGTAAGCAGTCTCCAATATTGTTTTATCCGTTGTCAGCACACACGCACTCCTGTAACGCCACGAAAGGATTGATTTATGCGAACCAACTATATTATAATTAGGTACTAACTGATTCATCATTTCAATGATTTTTCAGTTGAAAGTGTGATATATTTTTAGGAATAGTAACATTTGTATAGCTATTATTATTTACAGCTTGCTTGTATCCACATTTTATTAACGAATTATCATACTTTTATTTATAGTGAGCAACATTATTTTATGGACTTGTAAAATATTGTTTCAAATAGGTTTATCGTATATACTGTAATGCTAATATATTGGTTCCAAACCTCTCAAAAGCTTTTTATTGTTATTTTATGTTTTTCAAATTAACATTGATCATGAATTTGTATTTGTGTTCATCAGCTTATGTGATACACTTTATCTACAATCGATATCGCCCCTACCGGACGTAAGAACAAAACTAACACATATACAATATACAATAATATAGATGTTTGACATTAAACCCTTAATTATATTTATCTGTCGTGTTGTGTCGTGACGCGTCAGGTGTTGGTGTCATACATTAAGTACGGTTAGAATTATTTGTGTGACACGATGTGTCGAGGAAATGATACCTCTCTGACGCTTTACGACACAACACGTCAGTCAAATATATTTCCGGTCTTATTCTCTTTTATATAAAGATATAGATATAGTATACGTGGGAAGGTATTACTTATTGGTAAAATTATTGGCTGTTGTAAGTATTGGGCAAAAGCCTGTTTGAGATACAGAACTAAACTAAAATAGGCTTTTCTTTCGGAACAAGCACTATTTATTTTACGCACATATCCTGTAAAACAGATGAAAAGCTTGTGATATCTATAATAGGTGTAAAAAATATACTTATGTACGGGTACGCCAAAGACGATTAGAAGAGCGAGTGCGTGCATTGAAGCGGCACATTGATAAGAAGAGTGACACTAACCAAAAAAGCATTTTTTCAGTAGAAGCATTTAAAGTTTTACCAAACAGTAATTAAGACTTTTGCAATCGTGTTTAATGCTCTCTGCAATAGAAATCATAACATGATATTGATTTTTTATTCTTTCTGGTGCAAAAGTCGTAATTACTGTTTAATAAAACTTTTAATGCTTCTACTGAAAAAATAACTTTTCTGGTTAGTGTCACACTCTTCTTATCAATGTGGGATATCAAGTAGGTATGTAAGGTTTAGAAGAGCTTAAGAAATACTAAAAAAACGGCAGACTACTCGATTCCCGCTCCTAAACCATATTTTATGATATAACTTTTGGCACATCTTATCAATAAGACCAACAGTGTTAGTGCAATATGAGATCTGCTTATGGAGTTCAGGTTTTACGTTTAAATATCACGCATGGAAGCATCAGATTTTACACCAATATTTTAAATGGAACAGCATTCCCGCCGCACTACATGCTCGTTCAACTGGAAACAAGTAATTGTGCCGGTCACACGCACAGATCAAAGGCGACTTTTTTTGGTACTAAAGGTGAAGTGCGTGTAAAGAAGGCGAGATATGCACTCGCGGCGCCGCCGTCTGGCCGGGAATAGCTCCCACTGAAATAGCTCAGACGACGCGGACAGCGCGGCTTTAACGAATATTAATATGCGAATGCACCTTAACCGGATAAATTTTAGACACGGTGATTCATGGATAATGCTTCAGACACGGGTAGACGCATGATGCTGGCCTGCCATTTGATGCGTTTCGTTGGCAACAACTCAATTCCAGCCGACTGATGAGTTTTTGAATTTGAACTCTATCGATCGCATTTGAATGAGTTACCGACAGTTTTAATGATATGTAGGCATAGTAGTCACTAATTGGTGCTCTTCTAAAGTCATACAATTTCATCTCTACATAGGTAGGTAATTAACTGTTTAATCAGTTAAAATCTGCCCAGGTGCAGTACTCTCATACGGAGGGATTAAACCTTCCGTCGTACCACATCAAATATAGCAATTTATATGGGTCGATTAAGTCTTCGAATATTATCTAATTTCTTCTGGCTATTTATCATCATCACCAGCCTATTATTTTCACTGGGGCACAGGCCTTCTCTATGGATGAAATATTGAGATTGGGTGTACAGATGCCGCCGGGGTAACGTGTCTTCCTAAGGACGGAAGAGCTCGAGATAATAAGTTTTTGGTCACCCATCCAATGACCGCTTATTGCGAAAGTTGTTTAACTTCTACGATCGCAAGTCGATTGCGCTACCCACCTGCGCCATCGAACTCTTCGATACGATTAGCGATTGCGGTTTACGATCCTTGTAGCTATTACGGTTCACGAATACAGCCCGTCAGAATAATTAACGGCCGATACTACAGAAGGTGATGAAAACTAAAGATTATTCTGTAAATAAAAGTATTAATAGCATGAGTTAATGGAAAATGCTTTTCGAAAATATACTTGCACTAGAATATAGCCTGAATAAATAAATATTATCACACCGACCTCGTGAGTCGTACGTAACAGTACCTATTTCAAATCATCTTTTATTGAGGACGTATTTTTAGAACAATCTTCGCTAAAGGCAATTCATAAAATCCGTTTAGAGTCATCTCAATGAATTACCCTATATATTATACTAGCCTATAGCCCTATTATACACGACCAGTGTCGCAAACTCCTGACATATTTAAGATATTATTTCTAATTCGATATTAATTATATATTCGATACGATAGAGACCGTTACTATGACATTTAAAACCCAATTTTGTTGGGGATCCGGGCTGTTACCTCGTTTTAGGTTTCTCCCAAAAAAATTCTTTGACTATACCACCTCGATTACTGTTAATAACATGCTATGATAACGTAGATAATTTTCAGGAGAAACGAAAACGGGGGGAACAGCCTGCAACCCGTTTTGTTCACTTCACAGACCATATTCGAGTAAACCGGTTTCTGAAAGGCTGTTTAGTAATAAAATTCACTAACAAGCTTGCAAAATCGAAAATAGTTTATAAAATGTGAATTAAGTTGCTGAAAGCCTAATAGTAACCATTAAATAATCTTTGGCCTAATCAACTGTAGTCACGGTATGAATTGACAGAGCAGACGATTCAGAAATTCAACTTGATTTAACACTGTATATAAATTGACCGGTGCTTAAGTTAAGTAGTTGAATAATCAATAATTTTACATATCTTTCAGAAACCGGGCGTAAGTCTGTTGTTTTGTTTAAGTATGCATGGTGAGTCAGCACGACGAAGGAGGCATTAATTATCTAAAGTGCATAGACGCAGCGTCCTTGCAAGGCTGTTGCGTCGCAGATCACGTGCTAGTGCGCCTGCGCAGCGCCTCCAATTCTCGATAGATAATCTTAACTCGGTTTATTGCGTTATGCTGCGTGTACCGCAGAAGCGGAGCTAATCAGTCTTAAAGAAATTTTCCAATGTTATTACAGAATATACACACTATTCAGCTCCGCTTCTATGGAAATGCAGTTTTCCGTGCAAGGTACATATATAGGAATCTCCTTTGAAAACAGAACAGAACCAAAAAAAATGAAATGATTATTTATTTTAGAGACTGAGCTTAAGTCTGTGGAATTTTTAATAGTTAAATTTTCCTTACATTTATAAATCTACCAGTTCATGTTTAAAAAAAAAATGTGTGGGTCAGCTCCGACGCACGACTGGAGTTTATTCCTTAAGTTCGATAGTCTAACCAGACGCAAACAGAGTTTATTTAACTTAAAAAAGATTCATACTGTATGAAAGGGTAAATTAACAAATTAATTAAAATAATATACATATCTTTATATATATAATTCTTCTGTGAGTGTGTATGTCACTGAACTTCTCTTAAACGACTGGACCGATTTTGATGAAATTTTTTGTGTGTGTTCAAGGGGATCTGAGAATGGTTTAGATTCACAATTTTGTCCGCTGGACAACCCCTATTTTTTTAGGGCGGTACGAAGTTCGCTGGGTCAGCTAGTATAAATATATATTTATTCATTTCATATACATTTATTATAACTAATCGACGAAATATTTTACATTAGACTTTTTACAATAGTCAATTTCAGATGTGCATAAATATATCATTAGGAATGTTGATAAATTATGTAATTATTATTATCAGACTATTATGATTTTTTTAAATATTAATTAAATCAACTTTGTCTGCATTATTAATTACAGTGACAAGTGGTTTATGGTAACTAAAATAAGACACATGGACGTTCGTAGATACGTGGTTCACGAATCTTGAAAATACCGCATCAACGGTTGTACCATACCTCGTTGTGCCCATTGCTCTATCAGAAACAATATCTAAATTCAGTTCAGATTTTAAAAATTTTATTAATGTCAATCCGTCATCTTTGTTTGTCAAAGTTGCGCGACATAGGATGCGCACCAAATACGTAACGAGGTCATTCATCGATAGATTTTACTCCTCACATTTTTCTCATACCGGGCCCCTTATATATGCAAATCGATTCTTAAGGAGTAAACTCCAATAAACTCCAATGAAAGTATGAAATACCTATAGATTTATAATTGCTAAGATGGGCTGGCATGACAGACCTTATATGTAGATCAAGCCCTCCTAAACAAAAAAAGCTATCAAAAGAAGGTTTACGTAATTTCGACATGGAAAATGTATAACGTGTATTCTAACATGATTTTTGAATACCTATGCTTTTAACGAAAAATAGTACCTTTCCTGTTATAAGTCGTCATTGCTTTGTTGAGACTCTTTCCTTGATATTATCCCTATATACTGGACAGGCATTCGTCATATAAGACGCATTTGTTTCGAATAGAACAAGATTTAAAACAAATTTATATAGGTGCATATATACATACAAAATAGAACCGACTGATATTATGTCGATGCCACTATCATGATCTCCCAGCTAAACACATGGCTTAGTATCGACTTCAAATTTGTCAGTCGGTAAATCATTTTTTTTATTATTTTTAGTATTTTTGTAGTCGGTTCTATTTTTATTAAACATTATTTTATTTTTCCATTTTTAGTGTAATACGGAATACTCTACTGGTTGAAAATTTTACACGCGTAGGTCGGATACTGCCAGTTTATTATGTACTAAAACCTATCCTATGAAATACGCATTAATACAACAAAAACCCCATTCAAATCAGATCAGTAGTTTTTGAAAAAAACGCGGACACACATGTATACTTACAAACATACAGGTCTAACTCAGATAATATTTTTTTGAAGTCTGTTAAAAAGCAGATTTTTGCATGAAAGGTAGGTAGGTCCCTAATCCTAACTACAAAGGCTAAGCTATGTGTCCACCCACAGTCGTGCTTGTTCGACTTGCTTGAGGCGTAGGTAAATATTGTTCAAAATAATTCCCTCAGACAATATTGAACTTTATCAACATGGAATTTAATGGAAAAATTGAATTGCGCTAACATGCCCTATACAGCCTTAACAGTCTATACATCCGGAATAGAGGTTTTGTAGATGTATACTCGCTAAATGCTTACACTAATATAAGTATGCAGTTACATTTTATGGAACGACTTATTATTTACAAATAAATTGTCGCAACTTTTTTGAGTTGAATTTGAATGTGCTAAGTGCGAGTTTTAAACCAAAGATTTTAACGAACACGTCATTACTTTAAGAGTCAATATCCGCCATTTCCATCAGACGGCGCTGGTGTCTAGCTATGAGTTTTGCATTTTCTTTGAGAAAGACCAGTAGGCTTTATTCGCTAACGGTTTTTGATACATAGAAGTGATTATCATCGAGCTATTTGCTGATCCACTACTGTTTTATTATAACGCCACTAACATACTTGTCCTAAAAAGCATCGATGGATATGCAATTTTGTCTTAAGGTACATGCTGTAAATGTAAAAAAAGTTTGTGAAAAGGCTGGCTGGTGTCTAGTACAGGTTTCAAACTCGACCGGCTTAGTAAGCAACTGGCCTCTGGTCCG